GTCAAATTGGTGAATTATGACAACTTCCACAAAAAAACCAGGAACAGACCATCTGATATTGGCTGTTGAACACTTCAAAAAGTCATATCCATCTGTTCATACAGGGGAAACTTATTCTCGAATCTGTAACTCAAATTCGGGTTTGTCCAAAAATACGGTATCCCTAAATCTGCAGCATTGGTTTATCACCATGTCCATATCAAAAGGGCCATAGATTGGGCTATCCGGCTATCCCCTATTGAAAACCATGTGCTTAGCCAATAAAAATGTCTTTTTTTGGTGCGACCCGCTGTCCGAATCGCGCATGTTTGGGTGGGACTGGAGAGGAGATACGAATTTTTGAAGCCCATGATTGGTTGTTGGGCAAATCTTGGTGCATGGTAAGTCAATGCGTCGCAAATTCTTCGCGCTGTAAATGAGGGAGTATATATGTCATATCCTGCAAAGAACATTTTTTTTTGGGAGGTACCAACCAAAGTTTCGCCATCATTTTGAGTTGGCTGATTGGCTAATCTTGTTCTCACATTCCCAGCGGACTTTCAGGCCTTAGCGTTTGGCGTTGTAAAGCAGCCATTTTTTGATGGGGGAATCCAAAATTACACTGGTTAAATCGAAATTTTGTGCCACCAAACATCCTAACCATTCCAAAGCAGGAATCCTAATTCTAATCCAAATGCTTTATTGGTGATTATTAACTATTATATATTGATAGGTTGATGATAGGAGATACAAATAATCTACATTCATCAATATACTTATATCAGATTATTGTTGATTATGAACTATTATTTACTAATGATCATTACTCCATATCATTACTCCATTATTGGTGATTATACTGATGATCAACAACATTCTTACCATTATTGGTACAATGTGGGCCCCCCCAGTTTTAAGTTGGTTTATAAACCCCATTAACTATAGTTATAAGTACCATAAACCAACTTAGCTATCTTGGGGGCTCCACATTGTACAGTAATTATTATAACTATCATTGGTTAAATCATGTGAAATCCACATGCATTGGCTGAGCGAAGGTGGTGCTGCAGCTTGCCCCAGCGGAAGCAAAGCCCAGTGCCTCGGCGTCTCCGCGCGGGCACTCTTCAGCAATCGAAAATGGTCATTTCATGGGATTTGACCCTCAAAATGGTGATAGAATGGGGATTTAACTATCAAAAATTGTAATTTAATAGGATCTGAATTGGACTGAAACCATCAATTATAGGCATTTCGTCGGGATTTAGAGGGATTAGAATGGGGAGAGAATGAAGATTCATGTGGAATCCACCCTGGCTGCAACAAGTCCCATGTCGGGACGCTGTCATGACCAGGCGCTGAGTCGGTGACCTATATCTATGTAGCTGATGTGTTCAATGAACATCCACCATGACTGGGGAATCGATGAAGGGAAGATGTGGATTATTTTTCGGAAACTCTTTACAGAAATTCAAAGAGATTTCGCCAACAAAAAAGAGGAATTGCAAGCATCATGAAAGGTGGATTTAGCATGAACCAGAAAAGACGTCACTTTAGCAACAAAGTTGTGTTTTTCAGAGGGGAAAACATCTTCAAGAGTAGGTTTCCGCAAGCAAAAACCATCTAGTTGTTGCAAGGGAAACTTGGGATGTCACCTAACAAGCAGAAGCAACAGCAACTGGCAAGTAAGTTAAAACAATGTGTTCAAAAATGGAGCAGTGTTCAAAATCAAACGTCCAAAACAGGTGGGATATTCACCAGGTTTGGGGTGCAGACAATTCCCCGTTCCCCCCCACGGACTTTGGTTGTTCTGAGCCTGAGCATTCGCTAAGAACAGCTCCAGAAATGGGGGGACCCCCACAATGTTAGCTGTTCATTCCGACCATATGGTGTTGTGCCCGAAAACGAGGTGAAGAGCGCTCCTCGAGACATCAGTTGTTTCTCGCAGATTTTGCTGTTGCCACAGATACTTGTAGAAATTGACCGGTGTTTGTATCCTGTCAGGCCCAAGTTGGTGGATCCATACTCATACCATCTCATACCAATGTTTGCTGACAACATACTCTAAAGAAAATGGTGTCAGTGTCACACGATGGAAAAATGACTTGCTTGTCATGTACAAATTGGCTGACCATGTTCGAAAGATGGAAAAGCAACGGTGACTTGGGCTGATTGTTCGTGTGTGCTACGTGGTTTCCATCCCTAGCTGGAATGATTACCCCAACTGAGAGGCATCTTAAGTCATCATCTCAAGTCATAATCTTAAATCATCATTTTCATCTTCATCTTCATCCTCATCTTCATCCTCATCTTCATTTTCATCTTCATTTTCATCTTCATCGTCGTCATCATCATCGTCATCGTCATCCTCAGTAAACCTCTCAATCCTCACACGACGAACATCCATTGCTTTTCACGCCACCAGGTTGCTGGATGACTTTCTGAAGCCGGATGAGGTCATCCACTGTGGAGTGGATCATCGTGTCAACCAAAATGTGACGTGACCAACAAAATCAAGAGATGAATGGAACAGAAATGTAGACCCAGAAATGGCTTGGTTTCCTTGGAATCATGACAAAAAAGCTCTTCCGGTAGGTCTTGAAACTTTGATCATCAATGATGTAAGCAGCGGATGACTCCTTGGATGCAGAAACAGGTCAAGTATAACAGCATAAGATTGGGTGCTTGTTAGCGTCCAAACATGAATAGGTTTGGTCATATTTTAGATATCCAGAAGTAGGTTTTGACCTGCAACAGATTTGCATGTGTACACATGATGACCACCCGATATACTGTGAGAGAAGAAAACATAGTAAAGATGAATACAGATCATTTATACATCTATTTGTATGAATACACCGGCAGTGAAGTATCGTGGGTCCCACGCAGCCAGGACTCGCTCGCTCCGGGACGCAAAGCCATGGATGGTGACGCTGCCATGATTTTGTAACAATGGGGAGATCAATGGGATAAGAAAAATGGTGATTGGATCAGGGAAACTGGTGGTTTTACTAGAGGAAATTGATCAAACCTGCGACTTTGGCAAGAAAACAGTTGCTTTTTGGAAGCAAAAATGGTGTTTCTTTCAATGACTGGGGATGCAACCAAGAAATTTAGAGGCAATTTGTCCAGCAAATGTTTGGATGTGAACCCTTTGAAATAAGGATAGAACCCATGTATTTGGCGGATTCATTTTCCTTCCTTTCCTCGGGGCCGCCAATTGACTGATATTCCTCTGGGGATTGAAAGCATACATCGAATATTTACGATGACCACCAAGGAGAGAGAAATAGATTCATCATCTGGTGATTTCAAACCTCCAGCAACGCTCAGATATTCATTTATGATTCATTTTGATGACTCGATGACCAATAAAACTGAGATTCACCATTTTGCTCACCATTCGCATCAAGTGCAATGTAAAAAGATTGGACTTGGGATGGCCCCACATGTAAGTAACGCAAGGTGATGCAAGGAACGAAGAGCAACTTGGCACGAAAAGTTGCGAAAAAAATTGAACGGAAGAACGGAGTTTTTTACTTCTGAAGTTTGAAAAACTGAAGTTAAAGATCAGAATCCATGTTGCGCCTGTGGGGTGCGCCACATTGAGAAGCCGCCCTTGGGGGCATTTGAGTTGGGTCAAACTAAAATGTTTCCACTGGGAACCATCCATGTGGTCACATTTTGGGTCGTCCAATCGTCCAAAGCCAAAAGGCCAAAACGGGAATGTGTTCAGTGTGAAAACTTGATGCTTTTGAGCAGCGTAACCAAGGTATATCCAGAAGAATTCAAAGAAGGCCGGGTGCGGAGGTGGCGAAGAATCAGGTTTGTCACCGGTGGATTCCAAAGACATCCCAGGTGTTGACTCCGGGCCTTGTGATGGCGGCAGCTGGGCAGCGTTTCGAAAAAACGCAAATCGTCCCCGATTTCACCTGGAAGTCTGGCAGATCACCCAGAATTCTGGAAAGGTTCCAGCTAAACTGGTGGCGTGGAATAAGTTTATGTGGTGCTTCTTCGCTGGAATCCTCATATTTCGTCGGAAACATACACAGTCCTGGCACTTAACATGTTCAGCAATACTGGTTGGTGGTTTCAAACATGTTTTATTTTCCATTTCATATATGGGATGTCATCCTTCCCATTGACGAACTCCATCATTTTTCAAGATGGTTATTGCACCACCAACCAGGTTATCATTAAACCATCATTAACCCTCATTAACCATCATTAACCATCATTAACCATCATTAACCATCATTAACCATCATTAACCATCATTAATCATCATTAACCATCATTAACCATCATAAACCATACGTATATTAACCATCATTAACCACCAACCAGAATAGGTTTGTTGATTCCAAAGCTGATGCTTGATTCTATACCCAGTCGCTGTTGGTTCGATCCTGATGTTTTTTTTTTTGCAAGGGTGGGTAGGTACATACAGCGGTACGTGATAATATAGGAAAGAGTGCTAGAATCATAATGATGACAATATGTGTATGATTGTGTATGTACATATATATATATATATGTATATATATATATACATGTATTCCCCTAAAAGGTAATTAGAAATCCCTATTTCTTATACATTTATACTATGCGTATGACATCGTATGACCTTCCAATATCTCCTGCAGTTCCTGCAACCAAGGACTCCGAAGAGGTGAAGAGCCCTCGCTGGAGGCCAGCAATTTTGGGAGCATTGGTCTATCATGATATCATATAAAACCTGTATGATATATTTATATATATATATATATGCATTATACATTAGATATTCATATGTTCGTGGGAACAATGATAATGATTTGTCCAACTCGTGACTGGGTCGGAGCATTTCTCCGCCAGGGATGCTGAGTCGGTGGCCAACTTGTTCTCAGACGACAAGACCACAGCACCGTGGCGATGTTGGCCATGCTGGCGATGTCATTGGCTGCAGAATCACAGTTTAATCTGTTCGGTTGTTGGGATAAGTCTATGCAACAGATTATATTAATCTATAAATTACATATCTATAATATATAACATATCATATCTATGCAATTGCAGTTGGAGTTCTTTGGTAAAGATATTCACAGCACAGCGCGGTGAGTCCGGAAAAACAGCAGACGTTGGGAGTGCAGCCATCAGGTGATGATGCGCAACATCCCAAACCGCTACACATGTGGGGAGCCCCAGAAGAGTCTTCGACTGGACATGGTGTTTACCAGTCGACTGGCAGAATGATAGCCGAATATTGTATGATATAAGATAGGGTATGATACAATAAAATAGAATAGAATGTGACATAACAGAACATAATAAAACATAATATAATATTACATCATATAATACGACATAATATAATTTATTATAATATATAATACAATTTAATATATAATATATAATACAATTTAATATATAATATAATTCAATATATAATATATAATATATAATATGATATAATATAATATGGTATAATATAATTTAATATAGTACAATAGAATGGAATATAATGTAATGTAAGATTACATAATATTACATCATAGAATATAACATATAATATGTGTTAATATATAATATAACTTAATATATAATTTAATTCATTATATAATATAATGTAAGATAAGATAATTTAACATAGTATAGTAAAGCATAATACAATATAGTACAATAAAGTGGAATAGAATGAAATATAATGTAATGTAACATAACATAATATAACATAGTATAAGATAAAATAATATCATATATTTTAATTTAAAAATAATTTAATATACAATTTAATGTAAGATAAGATAAGATAATATTGTATAGTATAGTATAGTATAGTATAGCATAATAAACTGTAATATAGTACAATAGAATGGAATAGAATGTAATGTAACATAACATAATATGCTGATGTATTACAATATGTTGCTGAGTTCGCCGGGCTGCCGGGGTTTCACCAGGCGAAGAGTTGCTGAGCGAAGTGATGATGGCAGGCTTTGATGAAGCGCCCCTTTGATCGATGGCTGGGATGGCTATCGCAGTTTTCTCAGTAGAAATCACCGTAGAACATCAAACAAAAACTGGTTTCTATGGCTAGATGCTACTGATTAAAGAGGATTGGTTCTACTGGTTTCTGGTTTTATAAAGGATTTGTAGTTCAAGTACCGTGTTGTGCTCTGGTTCCTTTGGTTGCTCTTCCACAGGGTTGATTGCAATGCAGGATGGCTTTATTGCATCATATCATCATCAGCGGTCAGAAATACAGTCCTCTGGAAAGAAAGTGCCAGTGCATGTCAGAAATATGCTCGACTGGACATGCAATTTTAGTTGATCAACATAAAGGACTATAAAAAAAACACATCTGTTTACTTATTGAGTTTGAAATGTTCATGTCACCAAGTTCATCAAACTAAAAAAAGACTGGATCAACTTGGAGGTCATCAACCAACCCGATGGGCCTATCATTGGTTGCAAGATTTTTTCAAATAGCTAATATCATTGGGCTGTTATACCATGTTATACCTAACATCTGAAAAATTCGCCAAAATCGCCACATCTGTGGACAGTTGAGGTTCGACTTTTTCTATTCGCCTATGGACTTCAAGACCAAACGCAATCGCGGCTATGGCTTCATCAACTTCCACACGGCGGACATCGCCAAAGAGTGCCTTTTATGAAAACGCAACCTTGGAGGAGCAGTTTTTCCCAAGGAAAACTGGTTGAAAGTGCCAAAAACGAAGGGATATGTGGGTGAAACAATAATAATTAAACCACCCATGACTGGGAATGGTAAACATAACACCTATATATTTATGGTGATGACTGGGGGATGGTTTATGGCATTGTTTTACCCACAATTATGAAGATAGGGTTCCTGTTGGAAATGACATGAAATGACCATTTTTGTGGGGCGGAATGAATCGTGGGTCGTGCCAGTAGGATGAGCTACCACAAGAATTTCCTGCATCTTGACCTCCTGCGGAAATCTTAAGGATTCCGCTTGCGCCAATACCAAAGTCCATCTCAAATTCCGCCACAATACCCAAATGTCATCGTTCTCTCCAACTCTGAAGCTGAAAATCATGTTTTGATATGTTTTGATGCAATGGATAGAGGGAGAATCTAGAGGAAACCATGGCTTTTACAATATATGGGTTCCTCCTGGATTTTCCCTTCAATCAATTCTGGGGTTGATGGGCCCCAATCACTGATTTTTTTCTCACGCATCTCTTCCCGGAACCTTTGGTTTTCCACCCCCTATCGTCAGTTTCTGTAACTTTTGGTCACTCCATTTATATTCTCATTTACAGATAAGAAGCTCCTCATGTTTTAGCAGCAACAAATTGCTGGTCTCCTCATTATTATCAGATTAGGATGGTTCTTTATTCTGCCATAAAAACGATAAAATAGATCTAAGTCACCTAAGTGTTCCATAGATGTTCCATAGATGTTCCATAGATGTTCCTACATCCCCCCATTTTTTTCAAATCTCCAGCGACTTTCGAGGTTCGCTATGGCCTTTCATCGCCGACAGCTCTCCTTGTACTCCTCCAAGAAGATCGTGGAGGTGGCGCCCGCCGTGACGCAAGGTGGGGACTTCGATGGCGCAGATGGCAGCGCAGATGGATCACTTCGAAGCAGTCGAAAAATGCAGGGCTTTTAATCCCATAGGATCCATGGTGCTGGTATATATGCTAACATGACTGGGGTATATTGATGGGATCCATGTTAGCATATATACCAGCACTGTGGATCCTATGGGAATGGTTCTATCATGACAAATCGTGATTCTAGCACACTTAGAAGTTTTGAGGGGTATATTGTAATGGGAATAATGGTGAGTGAATTCGCAAAAAAGTCGGATTCAAGCAATGAAAATGGGGATGTTGATGGATAAGATAGATTTTACTAGTGAGATGTTTTTTTTGTTTATGGGATTTCACCATGAAATGGATGATTTTCTCATGTGTTTCAGCATCATATGGAGATGATGGGGCTGGGATGCTGATGGGGATCAACATCAACAATCCTGTAATGCTGATCAACAACATGAATATACCGAATATACCTGTTAACAAGATCCACATGGTATAGGATAATCCCTATACCCTATAATGGGGATCAAGAATCTAGTGAAAAAAAAATATGGATGCTGGGAAAGGGTGCCAGTTCACTGGCATCGCGGGTTATCCTGCGGGAAACATGGGGAGTAAGCCACGTGGCGAATATGTCATTGGTCAATTTTGTTTGGAGAATGGTGGCTTGATGTTTTCGGATGAATAGTTCACATCAGGATGTTCTTTCGGTTAGGCCGCCAGGCCACTGCAAAGTGCTGCGTTCTCCGTTGAACCGTTGAGTCATCCAAAGATCTGCCGGCATCCCTCCAGGCTATACAGCCAACATGACCAAGTACTTCGAGAAGGATTCCGAGCGAATCAAAAACGATGCTCGGATGACGACTCGGATGAAGGATTTACGTCGACTTTGGGAGATGGTTCTTGGATGTACACAGAGCATGGCCAATGTTGGCGAAATCATGGTGTATTCATTAAATCGAGGGGTTAACCAACCGAAGAAAAAAATACAATAAGATACATAGATGTTGAGGATAGGTGGTGAAATGCTGACTTCCTTAACTTCTCCAATGCAGTGGTCCAGCGGTCCGAGGATTGGTTTAGACCCATGCTGTTCTCGAAGAGTTCCTGCCTTCGAAATGCGTGAATTCGTGTGGCCCTTCCATCTCTCGGCTACACAGGAGAAGTGGTCCATTGAGCCCCCACCAAGGGCACTGAGATCATGAGATTCTGGTTTTGCGATAGCGTTTCTTTGAAGAAACTTACAATTACTGATAGTCACTGATAGGCACTGATAGGTTCTATGAAATCATTTGACTTGTAAATATGTGCATTGATATCATTGTGTTTCATCATTGGTCACTTCTCCGTTAAGGTGCACGTGCATGTGGCCACGGCCAGCCTTGCCCATGTTTGGGTCCCGTTAATATCAGTAGCGTTAGTTCTTGAACAAGTGCCCGCAATTTGTTTAAGTGATCTTTATTCTCTATCATACCTGAACTGCATTTCAAGACTGATCTTGATCCAACTGTTGATAGTTGAACTATCCTGAACTGCATTGCAAGACAAGAATATGATCTTGATCCAAGTGTTTTCATGGTGATGATGGTGGTTTTCCCGCCAACCAAAAGGGTCGCTGTTCAGCTGATGAAAACCGACCTGTTCGACTGCATGGGAATTCGCAGCGCAGTTGTGACCGTCGCAGTTCAGCTGAATTCGCGAGCTGCCCAGGAGGTGTTTTTGTTTGCGGGTCCGCGGTTGTGAGCATATTTCACAGAAAGTGAGGAAATGCCATGTAGAATGGTTTATGGTACGCAAATAGCTATAGTATGCTATAGTTACTCAGGCGAATCTAAACCAACAAACATCACTGGGGGGCCTCACATTGTAGAGCTCTTAGCTTTCGCTAAAATGTTTTCTGACCCGATGTTGTTCCGCATCACCGGGCCCAAAAAAAAAAACCGGGCAGATGCGATACAAGGACGCTGTGCGACGAGACTGCCACGGTTCTTCCCGTTGCATGCTTTTTCGCCGGAGCCGAGTTCGGTGCTTTCATGCAGGGCGGACGCCAAGACGGGAGAGCTTAATTGGCTGAGGAGCCGGTCAGTTTTCGACTGGGACTGGGAATCAGACAAACAAATACAAATAATATATATTTATATATATATATACCATCAGCACCTAGAACCTATAAAAATGCAGGTCGCAGCAAAAAAACCTGAGTTTTTTGGGAACCCTTATAAAAAACCTAGTTATTCTAAGAAGTTCTAAAAAACCAGGTTTTTTTGATGTGACCTATTATGACATGGAACATGGAGATATGACATGCATGGGAGTAACTGTGGTTACCATATTTAGCATAAATGCGTGGAATTCACCACATATATATGGGAAATTAATCAGTGCATGAATGAGGGAAAATAACATAGTTCGAAATCTATCATGGCACCCAAAGATAATCAATTATGTTCATATCTTGTCATGAGCCTTGATGATCATAGAATCATACATGTATTGTTATCATATAATCCATGGGTCGATCCTCTTTCAACATGTATATGATTAACCATGCATCCCTTTGCCCAGGTCACGCCTTCAGGAAAAATTGCCCGCAATCCAATCGCAATCAAGGGCGGTGTGACACGGCCATCCATGGGATGAAAGATGATGAAAGGCTGTTGGGGTATTGAAGAATTTGTTTCAATTGGGAACAACTTTTCCGATCTATTGTCATTAATTTAAATATTGAATGCATGCATGCATATATGCAACTGGGATTGAATTCATGTACGGAAAGGGCCCTAATCCGATCTTGATTTGATTCACTTCCCATTGCATATGTGCATCATGCAATCATACAGTATGCATATCCATGCATCCCACTTTCAAATTTTCAACACTCACACCCGGCTGCACGGGCCATGGGCCGCTTGCTTTTTTGGCTGATGCACGCAGGTGCGGTCCTGGAATGGGCTGCTTGTGTTGCAGGGATCATGGGTCATGAATGAATCGAGATACTGGGGAGTGACTAGCATTGGAATCATGGCAACCACTTGGAGGAATCAGGAAAACCAATGGACCATGGATATAATTGATGATTCCAGCCGTGCATGGAAGCACCAGGAGAAATTTTGGGCTTAAGCCGATCCATCTGTCTTTGCTGATAGAGCCATGGTGGTTAAGAGGCCAGCCAAAAAACCAAAGGTGGATATTCGGACTTTGGCTAGTGAGTGGGATGGCCTCGAGTCCGTGAGGACCTACCTTAGGGACAATCCGAAGCAACCTTTGTTCCATGACAACATCAAAACGAATGTGCGATGTGCTTGCATTCTTTATGTCTTTGAGATGTTGAAGGCAATCCTGCTTCGCAGTTGTTCTGTCGCTTCCCAGCCCCAGCCATCAGTGAACCCTTTGCGGGAACAGATCAAATTACTCTACAAGAAGGCGAAGAGGGAACCGGATGCTGGTGAAATCATTGGGGATAGCTGGCACATCAGAAAGTTCCTGGCCCTGGTAAAGCTGAAGACCAAAAAGGAATTGGTTTCTACAGTGCCTTGATCTTAAACTATATTCGCTGGCCATGCATTGCATGCAAGAAACTCCAATGATTGAACTTAATACTTGAATGGGATTTTACTTCATGCGCTTCATGCACTTGTTTTTCAACACTTTGCATATCTTTGCATTAATTGAGATGAGAGTTGCTGAAGCTATGTTTGTTTTTTCCACTTGGTCACCTAAAGTGATTTGTTGCGGCAACTAAGCACAAGCGCTTCCAGCAGCTTTGTTGCATCCTCAACCCCACACTTGAGGACCGAGTTTTCTTGAACATATATTTACCATTACCATCCTTCCTGCACATGCATGTGACTGTATCTCTATGTCGATTACAATGAATGATCCTGCATTTATATAGACTTTTATGGACTTTTTGGGTGGCCATGGAAATTCTATCATTATAAAATTGTCCAAAATCAAAAGCATCCAAAGCTTCGACACGCAGCAGGAGAAATGCATTGAGATCAACCGTGCCATGGAAGAGAAACGAAAATCTCGTGGGGAAGAGGCCGCTGATGGGATAACTCTCCCAGTGCATGTGTATGGATCAAATCTGTAAATACTTTCACATGCAACCATGTTTCATTATATTTTCCCAAATGGCCCACTTGTTTCAGGAGCGGGATGAGGAGAGTGACGATGCCTATGATGAATCCGAGGAACCTGGAAGTGACAGCGAGGATTCTTCTGATGATTCTGACCCTGAAGTTTCTAATGAGATCATGGGAAAAGACATCCCAGAGCCGGATGTGAAGTCTGGTGAGGGTGCAGGGGTACCCAGTGAGACGCCACCCAGTCCAGGTTCCACTCCAATCTTGGCCCTGGTTCCTGCAGCTCCTTCATCTTCAGAAGCCAGAAGTGGCGTTGGCCTCGGGTAATCAGGATAATGCATTATATATGTGCAACATGATTCATATGTGGGGTTAATGTTGAATATCAACTGGGATGATGTTGAAAAAATGAGGTCAGGAACATGCAGTAGCTGACATGCGTGGTGATTTGGAGAAAGCACAAGCCCGTCTAGCCGAGCCATTGACTCAGCTTTTTTGAATCCCCAACTCTGAATACAGCCATGCGTTCACAATGAATGGCCGGAATCCCAATTAAATCAACTTAAGAAGATGTTAGTGTTGAGTTTTTTCTTATCGATTTGGATTTGCACTTGAAAACATCAAGCATAAATTCTTCATACAAAACCTGGGTGATGGTTTCTCCCCATGGCCAACTTGAGGATTCGTGCACGCAAAGCCCAGCTGCAAGAGAGCATTCAGAAGATGAAGTCGCAGGACATGAATCCACCTCAAGGCTAGGCCAGGCTTATGTATATATATTTTGGGTCGGGAGCCGATTGGACACGTACTGATGTTAAGTGCTTTGGATTCCAACTCACTAACTGGTCTCTGTGATTAATGGACAACGAAAACTTGAGTTAAACCATTGTATGCATTCACCCATGTTCACCCAAACCAAACTTTAAATTTTGACATACAGGTCGACCTTCCCGTGGAGTTGCGGTTCAGCAGGCCGCTGGGGATGCGGTGGATACATTGCCCATGGACATCATGGCTACTGATCCTCCCCCGGATTCACTGGTGCCGTCACCTTCCCCTGAAATCAGTTCCATGAGACGCAGAACGGAGTACCAGAAGAGATCTCGACATGGAGCTCCTCCCATGGCAACTCGGACCCTTTCAAATTCATTTTCAATATTGGACCATTCAAATCAAATCAACAAATGAATTGATGCAATACCGTAATACAACCTCACCTATTACATGTTCAAATCAATTCAATCCAGCCCGAACTGCATCATGCACAGGCAAAAGCCGTGGATGAGGGCAAGAAAACGGATGAGGTCAAGGACAACAAGTTGCCTAAGGATTTTTCTCCAAAGGCCCATGGGGCGTCCAGTGATGATGAAGTGGTGACCAGGGATAAACAGCTTCGCTTCAAGTCTTCGAAGAAAGGTGAAAGAAAAGACAAGCAGGCCAAAAACAAAACCAAGAAAACAAAGAAGAACAAGGCTAAGAGCAAAACCCAAACAAAACCAAAGGTTGGCCGCAAACGAAAGGTCTTGAAGGCACAGAAAGCAGAAGAGGAGCCCATGCAAAGCAAACGTCCCAGGTTGTCAAGTGCCAGTTGCAAGGAACCCCATGAGGAAGATGTTGCAACGTCGCCCCCAAAAAGCAAAGGCAAAGCAAAAAAGGAGGCCTCCCCAAAGGCCAATGCATCCCCCAAAGCAAAGAGCAAGGCCCAGGCCAAAGCAAAGAGCAAGGCCCAGGCCAAAGCAAAGAGCAAGCCCCAGGGCAAAGCAGAGAACAAAGCGGAGCCCAAAGCAAAGGCAAAGGCCAAAGGGCGGCCAAAGAAAGAGAAAGACACCGAGTACTTGGAACGCCAACGTGAATCCATGTTGTTCAACGCAAAGCAGGTAGAGGTCTTCGAGAAATTTGCAAAGTCTTTTGATGAAACTTTGGATGTGAAAAATTCTAAGTTCAAAGAGGATGCTCGTGCCAAAGCCGGTGACTATGATGGTTACAGGCTGAACATCTACTGGACTAGGTGCAGTGTTGGTGTCACTGACCGGGCTACTGGGAAAGATGTGGTCTACTACAGCTACAACAACTCTTCGGCTTGTGTTGCTCACAAGATTGCGGTGGCTTTGAAATGCGGGATGAAATCAGTATCTTAGCTGTTCAATCTATACATGTGATGAATTAAATGCCAAGCCAAAGAGTATACAGCCTATAATGATGTGCATTCAAAAAAATATTCGAATTCAATCACCATTTGCTGCCCGAAACTTCTTGCACCGCTCCAAGGCAAAATCTTTGGAGAAGGGCAATGAGCGTGCGAGGGATGGAAGTCTTTTCGCAGAGTTCAAACACAATGCTGCCATTGCCCTGTTTCTTTTGAGCAATGGGTCCAACAACGACTCAAATGATGCTCCCGATGTAGATTGAAAATTTGATGGGACAAATTCCCAATTCACTTTTGGTGCCGGGCTTTGGGGTTCATATGTGAGAGCTTAGGCCACTGCCAGGATCCATATCAGCAATCCATCCATGGATCAAGATCTATTTTTGTATCGATCACTGTGATCATTGCAAAACAAGGTCAAAGATTTGTCATGCTGCCTAAATCTCCATCCAATATATGTTGTCTAGTTGTTGTGAGATTAAAGGACTTTGTTTTTAAAGTGATTGCCCTTCAATATATTTGCAGCCTTCATGACTTCTATTTTGATTCTTTGGTGGGGATGGGTTGCACGGGCGGTGTGAGCCAACACATATTTGGGGTCGCCTGGTAACAATGGGAGGTACCCATGCCAATCTGAAGTGATTCAGTGCTCTGCGTTTGAAGAGGAAAAAAGCTCTTAGCTTGGCAGTTGCTTTCACGCAATTGGGGACCTCTCAGAATCAACCACATGAACAACCCCAAGAAAGAATGAAATATAAATCAGATTATATTAATGAGATAGGGTTGGGATTCGTTGCGCATGTGATCATTGCAAATGTTTATGTTAACTTCCCCATACCCTTCCCCACAACATGGACTCCATCTGCATCCGCTCCTGGACAGGTCTGGCGATGGAGCGCATCCATGCCGGCTTTGCGGGGCAACCTTTGGAAGGTGCGACAGAAGAAGTTCGAGAAACCCAAAAGTAGACGTGGGGCCGGCTCAATTGCCAGCAACTTCATTTCATACATGATCGGGTTGAGTTAGCGGAGACTGCATGCGTCCAATTGCACATGGCTTTTGCACAATGGCTTCAAATCATTGGAATTGGTAAACAAAAATCCACATGATTGGCAAATTCAATTCAAATCTGGGTGCATGATTCAAACATGGAAATCAATTCCAGAAGTGTGCCATGTATGCATGGTTGGCTCACTTAGCGCTGTGGAAGGATCAAGTTCAGTGTCTCGCTAGTATAGCAAAAGCTATATATAGCGGGATGGAGGTTCCACAAGAGTCCCAACAACTGGACCGGCTGTTCTATCAGTTGAAGCGATTGGGATGTCCCAAGGTCAGGGTCTTAACACTCTCTGGAATTTGAAAGGTGCTCCCAACGAAAACAATGCAAATCCATCCATGATTTCTTTTTGCCATGCATGCCAGTCATGCCATCGATCGATCCATACAATTGACATGGTACCTTTTGTTGACCACCGAAAGCCGCTGGTAAGGTGTTTGCCCTCTTGATCCTCATGCTGATTTGGACGAAGACATTGCCCATCTTAGAGGCGACCCTTACAGTAATCTGGGTGTTGTCAGGGATGAACTTATCGTTTGGGCCCCCCATACATGAGAGAATGATGGAACCTTTTGGGCGTGCAATGGCCATACACAAGATAAAATTTGGCCTTAATCTGTAATCTGTAATAATCAACATTTTATATGTTTCAACTTCTGCAATGCCAGGAGTACCAGATGCTGGAATTCTTCGCTGGGAAGGCCCAACTCTCAACTTGCATGAGAGCCTCTGGCTATCGCACTGCAAGCTTCGACATTCTATATGAGGATGGGCGAACGGATTCCCACAATAGCAACTTTATGGATATCAACTCACCCTCTGGCTTTGCGTATTTTGCCTTCAGGGGATGGTTTGGTACAGGGTCATTAGGGGATATGTGAAGCAATTCTCATGTGGGCCCACCCATATCAGGAACATTCAGGAACCATTTATGATGTGAGCTGAAAAATGGTATTGTCATATACGGACCTATTCATCTCTCCAATGCATGGTCACTGTTCAATACACTATTGGTTTCCCTACAGGTGACGTAAGTTACGGCGGTCTTCAATTTGGGATTAACATGAGAGGAATTTTTAAAGACTACCCATCTCCATCAATCCATTGAACTATGTTCCAGCTCCCACTGCCACGGCCGCTTCCCAGGTTGTGCATCCACGCCCTGATCTCGACGACTGAAAAGTTTCTGGCCTCTTTTGCGCTGAAATGCTCCAGCTGGTCGGCAATTAACCAGGGTACTTCACGGAGGGCCCCATGTGCTAGTTTGGGATTGGCTGGCTGCCCAAGTGTTGATTCTGCAAATACAATGGCAAGCCGGACTCTTGAATGTCTTTGATTTCAATTTGTTTAATTGGCAAATCTTCAATTTTCAGGGTTCGGGATTATATAGATGACCCATGATAAATTCAAAGATCGAATTGTCAATTTTATATTTTGCCAAATGGGGTTTCACGCCATGATGTTGGGGATTGAGGACATGCCTGTTGCTGCTACTTGTTACAGCTCTTGGGGGTGCATGGTTGCTAGAGCAGCCCGAAAACTCGGTCCTGGAGTTCTTCCCTCCATTCCAAACCCTGCTGAAAATGATGTTCGAAACATGCAATGCAACAGCAGTGGCTGGTCTGCCACTGGGATAGGGGATGTGGGTTTCATAAAATTGGTTACTTGGTCGATTCTTTACTTGACTCTGCCTGAAATACCCATGAATTTCAATTGCAATTTCACGGGATGAAAACCCAAAGTAAATCATGATATCCCAGCCTATCCGAATATAAAATTACCCATCTTATTCTGTGCCAAGGCATTTCGTGTGAAGTGGTACATGCAGATGTACGGAGGCTTGACCATGAAGCCCCACTACGCATGGGCGAACTCAGCTTCGGTCCGGCAACTAGAAACTCCGGCTCCCAAACGGAAACGTCAGGATGACGATCAGCCCAAAGTCAAAACATGTGAGCAATACGTGAACAAGGATGGTAAGACCTGCTACCATGGTAACAAAAACCTGCGAAGGACTGAGAATCTCAACTTGAATTGGCCCATGCAGGTTGGATTTTGTTTTCTTGAAAGTGATTGGTTACTCACCCTCTATTTTCTTGATGTCCCCGAGATTTTGCCAAAACATTGCCAATCCTTCCCACCATCTAAGGGAGTATCCTGTGAGATTTGGCTTCAAGCTGGTCGACATGTACCCTGAAATGACAAGCAGCCCCATGGGAAGAGCGCCTTTTCCCAATGAGAGTGAGGTGCCCCCGGCGTTGACCTCGTTCTTACTCATGGAGGACACTGCAGGTTACTTAGAATTTTCTAGGATTGACGAAGTCTTCAATTATTTAAGGCGGGGCAAACATCTTTTGATTCCGGCCCATTGGCGGGAGCACGTGCCAAAACCCATGTAACTTCCCTACATGATCCATTACAAATCATTCTGGCCAAATTTGAACATTTTTTGGACCCACTACCATTCATTCTGGGACATATATGGTACGAATTCATGATTTTTGTGAAAAAAACAGTCTGAAAATATTGGGGATACCAAGAACCCGTATTTATCCCGTATTAACCCGTATTTATCCCGTATTAAACCCGTATTTTGGATCCACCTAAAAAAACCAGGTTTTTCACAACCCGTATTTATCCCGTAGGGAACCCGTATTTATCCCGTAGTAACCCGTAGGGAAAATATGGGTTTTTTGGCAATTTCCTGAAATGCAATTAATCTGAGTTTCTAGACTCGGAGGATCGGAGTTGGATGCTGAACGGTGCAAAAATGATCCGTCCAACACTGCTTGTGAGCAATCTTGAATGCATGGAGCTTTGGTGATCTAATTTTGGCAATATATGGTGGATTGTTGAAACCCTTTATGGGATTTGCAGCATTTGGCGCAGAAGTACAGTCCTAGTGGGTTCTAAACACAAAGGTTACCTGCCTGGTGACCCGGATGTCTTTGGAAACCAGCTCTCGCATCTGGAGTTGTAATACGCTGGGTGATGGAATAGACCATCTTCTTCGTGAAGCTGACCAGATTTATGAAGAGGAACAAGCGTTGGAGAAGTTTATTGAGGACATAAGATTTGAATTACAATTGCAGCATTGAACATTTACTCTTGCAGTCTTGGTTTCTTACTTATTACATCCTATCACATGTTAGATTGTGCAGGACATGAAAGTGCAAGAACCATCAACTCCAGAACCTGTCCTTGACTTAGTTTAACGATGGATTCCAATCAATTCTCAAAATTAATTGGCCAAGATCGATCTATGCAGTTGAGCCCATTAGTCATCCCTCTGCCCAGGCCCCTTCGACTAGTGGGACGAGCAGCATCCATTCCCAGGAAACTTTGGAGGCCAGCCTGAACATGGGGAGCACTGAAGGATAAGCAATCGATCTGCAGTTCATGAACTTCATAATTCCTTTTTTGGTTTCAAATCTTTTCAAAGACAAACATTACCTCAGGTCCTAAGGTAAAAAGTTAACATGCATGCATGGGGTAAGCCTCATACTGACCCACACAATGTGAGCTGCATGGATTAAACTATTGTGCTGGGGCAGGCAACAGCTTCTCAGCTTCAAGAACATCATGGACGTGATGCAACGGTGAGTCCTGGTGGTGTTGTGGCACCTTTGGGTCATGAGAGCCCCCCACGACTTAGCCCGGAAATCCATGAACCCCCCGAGAATGCCGACAATGATGCTGTGTCTGAAGCAGCTCACAGTGAGACAGCACCAACTGAAGTTCATGGGGAACCCACTCCAAAGCAGGAGCCATTTGACATATATGTGCATGCAACATGTTAACAATGATTCATATTTGGGAGATCAATCAAGAGAATCATCAACATGCATGAACGATGCAATATATCTGCATATATGCAGGATGGTGATGTCGCTGCGAGACCGGTGGCTACTCCTACTCGTTCAGACCCTGAGCATCCTCCGGCTGAGAAAGCTGATGGTGCTGTTGAGTTGGATGGTGCCACTAGACCTCCAAAGACCCGACAGGCGCCTTCCCCATGTAGGTAAATTTGCTCAGCATTGCCATGCATCTCAACCTCAGCGTAGGAGCCATTGCCCCCTTCTCATGCGCATGTTTGCAGGAGAAATTGGTTGAGGCTGCAAAGGCACAGGTGCGTCGTATGTGTACTGTGAAGAAAAAGAGGGTGGGGATGAACTTACCCCCTTGGGTCCTCGAAGAGTATCGCAACAGACCAAAGTCGGAGACAGCACGGCTGTTGATGTCGTGCAACTTCGACAAGGCCAGGTTAGGGTTGTTCAAGCAGTATATAATGCTATGTAATCTCATTCTATTTTATTATCAGCATATAATTAGTCTATATAGCTCAAATAACCAAAACATCCAGGAGAAGTTCATCAACACTTTGGAGGTGATCGTGAAGAAAAAATCATCCAAGAAAATGACAGTGGACTCTGAATGGGTTAGCGAGAAAGAAATGCGAGACGAACTCAACTGGTCAGCGTGTCTCGTTTATATAAATTTTATACATCAATCTGCCATGTGCAAATGCAATGTACAAGTCATTTTCGAGTACATATTTGTGCAGAATGATCTGAGTCTTCGGCTCACTAATTTGCATTGACCCTTTCATCCAATCCAGCTTTACCACTGGGCCTTAGGACTCGCATAGCCGGAGCAAAGACAGCTTGTGAAAGGAAAGGTGATACCCATTGCAGGTACACATCTCAGACGTTGATCCCTTATGCAAGGTTCTTCAACTGATTGTTTACCAGTAGGACCTGTCCACTATCACTTTCCCCGGCCACGTGCAGGAAGAACAAGTACGATGGTGTGGACGAGTACTATGTTGATGTAAAAGAGCGAGGGCAGCGGGAGGAAGAGGAAACGAAGGAGGAGACCAGGAAAACAATGCAGAAACTTGAGGCATGCAGTGATGACCTATCAACCCACTAACTGTGACAAACGTTGCATGCATGTGGATTGAAAAATATCAAATTCAAAAAGATACTGTTACCATGCATTATAAAGCTGATACCCCCTGTGGTCCCATCAGCACTCCTCTACAGGCATCTGAGACGGTGGCCCACGATGCAGAGGATTTCTCTGGCTTGGATCGCCTGAAGGAAAGGTTGGCCGCAGAGACAAAGGATCCAGGTCAAAGCAACGGAACCAACCAACCCTTGGAGGCATGTAATCATGAGATTTTGAACATCAATGCCCAAATATGCTCAAATATTTTTTGGTCATCCAGTCAGTCACATGTCTCATCGTCTCCCTTTGCAGACGAAGAAGAAGCTTCAGAATTTTTTGGACTCGATCGTTCAGAAGTCTGGCAAAATCAGAGCTTTGCTTCGTGATGTTCGTCAAGAGTACTCCCAGAGCGAAATGATGTCAAGGCACCATATAGAGATCGACATTTATATATATGTGATGCATGTTCAATCTCCAGTATCCCAGTGGGTCTCCATGTTCAATTAGGTGTATGGCAATTTTTGCTTCAACAACAGTTCCAAAAGTTTATTGTTTCCTGCCAGGCAGGCAAAGACTCTTGAAGGCTTGCTTACTTCCCTTGATGCTGAGCACGACTCATGCAACAAAGTGATGGCCAAGGGGGAGTGTGCTGGCTTTCCCGCGGAGTTTCCAAGCTTCAATTCACATCAACTAACTTTGATGTCTGATTACATTTGATGAGATTCAATGGCCTTCAAATGAGTATATAGGCTTCTCAGTTTACGGTCATTGTTCTTGAGGTTTGTTGGCCAAGCGACGACGGCCATGAACAACGCTACCTATGCGTGGGGAACTCATTCAAACTTTTATCCCATCGATGCATCGATATAGCTTAAAGGCGTCATGCCATGATCCCATCATGCCATGATTGATCCCTGGGTAACTCCCAGATGGCCCGGCCCAGGTGCTCAGCGGCCTGTGCGGCTGAGGCGAAGCTGAGGACAGACTTCACCTTGATGGGCCGGTTGTTTGATTCGAGCTGACTGTTCTTTCCAATCTTGGGGAAATAAATTTGTTTGTTGAATGTTTCTCCATTAGGAATTTGAAGAAGTATGAAAAGAAGGATGGAGAGCAGGATGCCAAAAAGGAGGATAAAAAAAAGGATAAGAAGGATAAAAAGGACAAGAACAAAGGCAAGGATGGAAAGGTGAAAAAGGAGGAAGAGGAGACGGAGGGCAGTCGCAAAAGGCGCCATCACGGCAAAGATGGCAATCCTAAGGTACCCAAAAAAGTCAAAAAGTGATGGACACTGCCAGACTGCAAATTGCAATCGTTGGGACTGCTTGGAAGCGGTGGCTATGTGCTTTAGATACATAGGACTTTTCCTGCTTTAGCAATGGCCCACATGAGGTCAATCGTCAAGGGCGTGTTGGACCTGATGTGTTTAAACAATATATATGGTATCAAGTCTTCAAGTTTTCATGCATGCGTGGCTACTCTTGGCTCCCCATGGCCTATAGTTTTGGTGGGTCTTCATGAAAGATCAGGCAGTGGACACGCCCATAGAAAGTCTTGGAACCACTCAACTTGGGGATCGATCGCATGGCGAAAAAAAGATGGAAAAACTTAGCATGTCCGTTCAGTTTTGCCCCCCCACTGACCAAACCCCCAACGACACTGTTCCCAAGAGTTTTCATGCCAGGTGCCGGCAAAGCTTTGCAGACTTTCGCTGGAGACATTGGCGAGGGAGCCTGCACCTCAATGATTCAGTGTGGGCGCCACGTTCTCTTGAAAATCACATGGTCTGGTGATTCTGATGGGGATGGATGGATGGGATGATGTTGCAGAGTTGGCTGACCACATCTTGATATGTATGACAGTCGCCATTTTCCAAAACAGAGAAGGACATGTTAAGTAATTTCAAAGGAAACAAATGCAACCCTGCATGCCAATCAAATTCAAATGCCGTTTCTTTGCAAAAGGGGCTGGGTTGTCGAAATGACCAATGTTTGAAAAAATGATTGAGCATCGTGAATCAGTAGATTTATATTGGTTGCCCCCAAATTTCACCAGGATAACGACATTGAACAAACATGTTGAAACATGATATCTTTGCGCTCAATGATGCGCAATGGCCGGGGAGACTCCAGAAGAGGAGCTGATCGAGCTCCTATCTTGCCACCGCTCAGACACTTGGTTTCACCTAATCCCTTCTTCAACTAATCCCTTCGGACACTGATCTTAACTTTACAATCCCCTCACCAACACACTGTTGATTTGATGGTTCCAACAAAAACATAAATCATTGGATAAGTTTTCTCATCAAATGATCCTTTCATGTTGGATGATGTTGGATGTTGAATTCAGGAATCTGAAGGGCCTTTCCCATGGAGTACCAAAATTTGCAAACCCGATGATGCCAAACCAGTGGTGGAGCCGCAATGCGACCCATTGCCCAGTTGGGTTGCATCACTGCCAGTTGGCTTGCAATCCAATCAGGGGCTCCAGGCCATTGCACATGAGTCAGCTCGCCATGGGGCAATTGACTTCAAAATCCCCAGATGCCAAATGACTGCTGGAAGGGTGCTTCAGCATTGCCTTGAAGTGACTGAGCGTTTGTTTCGAAAACATGAACCTCTCATTTTCAAATTTGGGTATACCCACAACCCCTGCTGGCGCTGGGCCAATGATTTGTATGGCTACGTCAAAGCGAAAGAAAAGTGGTCGAATATGATTATACTTTGGATTTCTGATGAGCCATCTGGGCCAGCTATGTTGGAATCTGCCCTCATTGAGATCTTCAAAAGTATCTAGCCTGCATCTCTCATGCAAAATTATGATATGAGGTATGCGCTTTTGATTGCCAATTTGTAGCCTGTTGCAACAAAACCAAGCTGGGTTCCAACGGCGCCCGACCGGCCAAGGCAAACGTGGTTGCAAGAACATCCGCTTGGGTGGTGACACAGTGGATGGTTCCCCTGACAACCATGGGGCCCATATGTGTTACTTAGTGTATAGGTCTTTCAAGTTTAAGCCGACCTGATCAATACTCAGCTGTTCAAAGGTGCATGCCCAAGTGCTTACATATATATACCATCTATATACATATACCTGTGCATCTCAAAAATACCAGGGGCAACGAGAACCATGGACAAATGAGTATTGGTTTTTGGCTTTTGGAGTCATGATTTACTTGTGCTCATGATGCGAGCAGCTTGCAACGCAAACATTTTGCGTGGCTTTTATACAGACATGCGCGGGGTAGGGCAAAAGGATGGGGAAGCGCACTGTTATTTGAGTTGCAGTGCTACATTTGGTAGCAGTTGGAAAGGTGCATGCAAGCTGCAAAGCATTTCAAAGGCCACCTGATCACCCGGAACCCAATTTTTTAATCCCACTGAAAAATTTCAACTTCCACCGCTTAGCCCGGCTCTGAGGCCGCAACCTGCCGCTCTGCTGTCAGAGCAGCCAGAAGTGTTGTAGAGGATCTTGGCGAAGAAACAGCTACTCGAAGTGGTGGCCTTGTTGATCTGAGCAAATGCTCGGAAGCAAATAGTGAACGTGATGTCAATGTGCTGGCAAGGCGGTACAACTTGCAATTGCCAGTGCCGCTGAGCAATCTGCCCAAACCACCTGGTATTCGGTACACTGGCGATTTTCGTGCCATTGCCTTGCGAGATTGGTGCCAGTTTCTCGTTGACTACAACATGTGGCATCTCTTGGTGGGGCTTAAGAAGCCTGATGCCAGACGAGAACGAGCCATACTTGCTGAATTTTGGAAGAGGTACAAACTTCTTTACCCACAGCATCAAATCTGGGACACATTCCAACGCCATGGTGTGGATCCTGCTTGCTGCGCGCCAATGCTTCTGCATGGTGACGAGGGACGTGGAAGGAAAAAAGCTCCATTCCTCGTTTGCGCATACCATTCTATGATTGGCTTTGGTACATTGGCATCCAATGAAGCCAGAACTCGGCGACCTTACCTGCAGATGAGGTTGAACTATTCTGGCAGCAGCCATTTGCACAGGCTACTCACAGCAGTGCTGCCAAAGATGCACAAGGACCATGTTGCCCTCCAGGAGATTTGCAAATTCATCACTGCGGATGCGTTGCACATGGTTCGCTGCGGAGTGCGGTCTTGCCATGGAGGCCAGTACCACATGGCAGTGCTTTCCTGCACTGGTGATTGGGCTTGGCTTGCAAAAGCAGGTAACCTGAATCGATCCTACAGCAATGTCGAGAAACGCCCTCGTGCGGCCAATTCAGTTCCAAAAGGGATATGCCATTACTGCTCCGCAGGACGAGAAAATTGTCCCTTCGAGGACTTTGGCCGAAATCCACGTTGGAAAGCAACATGCTTCCAAGCTGGTGATTCTCCTTGGACTAGAAGACCGATCTTTTTAGACATACCTCATGAGCCTTCTCGTCCTGCAGCCTGGTTTACATTCGATCTCTGGCATTGCCTGCACTTGGGCATGGGGAAGGTGCTGTGTGCCAGTGCTTTCGCGCTGATGTCAGATCGAATGTCAGCTTCAAATGTTGTTGATCGGTTTTCGGAGCTTTCCGACTTGTACATGCAATGGTGCGATGAGACCCGGACCCCGCCATTTATCACCTCCATCAACAAGGAGCTGATCGGTTGGCCAGACAGATCTACGTTTCCCAACGGTTACTGGAGCAAGGGGCACATCACGGTGACCTTCATCAAGTTTATCTTGTTTTGGTTGAACAACAACGATGTTTCAGATTGCCGCATGCTCACCATATGCCGCCAAGCCATGTCTCTCTTGTGTGAAGCACTGGAGGAATTGTACCGGGAAAGCCTTTGGTTGGATCCGGACACTGCCCGCCGCATTGGTGAGAAAGGCATGAAATTCATGGAACTTTACGGAAAGTTGGTACGCATTGCGTATCGTAATGGGCAAGCCCTATGGGCCCTCATGCCCAAATCACACGTGGTGCACCATATTTTTATGGAATGCTCGGAAGCACGTTGTTCAATGATTTCACCGCTTGCGTATGCGGTTCAGGTTAGTGAAGATTTCATTGGAAAGAAGTCTCGCCTTGCGAGAAGGGTGGGACCGCAGCAGGTGATTCTCCGTGTGCTTGAACGCACTTTGGTGGTCACGCGCCAGCGTTGGGTTGAAGCCGATTTCTTGAGCGGCTGAAAGCAAGAAAAGATGGAGTATTGCAGGGAGCACAGGAATGGGCAATGCAGATGGAATGCATCATAATTTTAAACGGTTGAACAAATATTAAGCATCATTTTGCAAAATCGCAGAAATTGCAGGATTGAGAAAAACCAGGTTTTTTGGATGAAACCTGGAGACTTGGACAAAACCGGGTTATTTCAGAGGAAACCGGGTTAAAAAAAAACCGTCAATTTTGATGGTTCTCGTTGTTCTTGGTATATATATATATATTATTATACATATGATATGTGATGATATGTGCCAAATCTCTATAGATCACAATAGATCCCATAAAGTGACCCCAGTCACTTCTCCTGGATGTTAAAGAATGTAGAAGAATGTAGAACTGTTCCCAAAGTCCCCAGTTTATTTGGTTGATGTTGGTCGGTGGTATTTGGTCGGTCGGTAACAAGTAGATCTCTGTTGGTCTGCGCAACTGCTGATCATTTTCCAAGGGGCCCAGTTTGGCCATCGGCCATCAATAAAGTGTAGACAGTCCACGCATCCACGAAATTATGGTAATATTATGTAATATTCTGGTGGTTAAAAAATGTTACAAAACCTTCAACATCTTCAAACCACCCCCATTTTTGTTGACTTAAAAATCAGCAGCTGCTGAAACCCCGGAGTTTGGCTTCAGGGGTCCCGATTAGATCCTGCCGTGGGCGTTCACGCCCCATGGGTAGCTGTGCCAGCCTGTGGAATCCGTGGAACCCGGTCCAAAATGAAGGGAGGGCATTGATAGCACCAAACTCTATAATTACTGGTTGGTGCTTTGGAACATGACTGGATTATTTTCATAGTTGGGATGATGATCCAATCTGACGAACTCCATCATTTTTCAGGGGGGTAGGTATACCACCAATTAGCTATAGTATCCCTATAGTTTATGGGGATAATTTTCCGAAGGCCACAAAAAAGGTTCCTATGTTCAGACACCCAGGATTTTTGGTCTCAGGATGTTCTGGGAACAAAAAGTATGATTTCCCCAGCTGAACCACCAGAATTTTAGGCAATACGAAGTCAATGGGAACCACCAGCTGCATGGATGGCAGCAACCCTTTTTTCACGGCCACCGGTGCCGCAAGCAGGCGACTGTGTGGAGCAAGCAGATCGATGGATATAAACATTATTTTGATGACTTCGATGATTTTGATGGTTAAAGGAACTTGATTAATCATCAATTATTTTGATGGTTAATCTATGATGATTTAAATCTATTCTGATGATTAATTTGATGGTTGGGAACTTCAGCAGTCGGAAAGGAATCTTTCACCAAGAACCATAGGCTTTGTAAAACTTCGAACTTCATTTGAAGCAAGGCCTGGGCTTGCTAAGTCACAAAGGAAGACATGTAATCCACCCAAAAAAACATACATGAAAAGTGTTGAAAAGTATTGAAAAGTATGTATCCAAACTGTGATGTGACTAACCACTGTGGATTCCATTGAAAGCTCTGGCTACGAAACTTGGACCTTGAACCAGAAAGGAGAACACAGAATCCATCAGGGTCGGCCTATCCACTTCGGGTTGGTTAATATATGTTTTGTATCCCACATCCATTGAACATTTGGCCTCACACATGCCTGAAACATGGCTCTCGCCTTGAACTGTGAGTCGGATCTCATGTCCCGCCATGGAGGAAAAGATGCGGCTTTCCAAAGCCTGGGGATAACATGGGATGACCCAATCTGGGATTCCATCTTCCAAGAACAAAAGACTTCCACCCAGGTTACGGGGCCACCCCTTGGTTTTGGCCCGGTTGATTCTTTGTATCCCCATTTTGTTGGGTCTCGTTCTGGAAATCCTCATCCGAATCCTGCTTACTGTTGATACCCTCTGGTTATTTAACATAGCTATGGGACATGGCCCATTTATAGATGGTTTACCCATAAAAAACATGGTGATTTTCCATAGTTATGTTAGTTTACCAGAGGGTAGATCTGTGAATTCGCGGGTTACACATTTTTACACACTTTGACAGCCAGTTGGATGGGTTTCTGTGGGGTGATACTAGCCATACCGAACCACCAACGGCTGACATACCAGGCCCTGCAACGCAACGTGCAGCGCATGCAGCGTGCCATTCCGCGGCAGCGCGGGGAGGAAGTGCCTTCCAGGTGGGGAAGTGCAACAAATGGGGCGAAACTCGCCATTCTAGCGGTGGCAGCATTGGTTATCAAAGAAGGTTCCATACTATCTGGAAAAAATATGAAAAAATGATGTTTATTGGGATGATGATCGCCCATCGTAGGGATAGCTGTCAAACACATGAGGTGCGTTTTACCGTCATCTAATTATAGGGCTTGGAACCCATCAAAACTATGGGGATATACATGTGTATAGTATATTATATATATAGAATATGGGGATAATGGGATATATATATATAGCAATATATAATAAAATATATGATTGAAAAATGATGGTTGATGATGTGGGGTGATGATTTTGTTGGAGGTTCATTATCATGCAGGAACTGGGAATCTGAATCTTAGATAACCAAGGACTGCAATTGACTGCCAAACGGTGGTCGCATGGGCAAATTCCAGGTTTTGAGGATGCTGAAATCGTTTGATTTCTTGCTAGTTCCAACCTTTATTTTGGTTGGGCTAAATGAAGTCAAACCAGCTGGCGAACTCCCAATTTCAGTTGGTCAACTTCCAAATTTTACTGGATTTTTTAATCAAATCCCTTAAATTCCCCATTTTCAGATGATGTTCCATCAATTTTCCATCAAAAATTGTGGTGTGCCCATTAAATCTTCCATTTATCCATACATGTCCCCATGTTTTTTTCCATGAATTTTCATTCTGCTTGTCCTATTTTTCAGTTGATGCTTCCATATTATCAATTAAAAAAATGGTGCTTGATCATCTCCCATTTTCTATCCATGTTCCCATGTTTATTTTGTTCATTGATTTTTCCAATGAAAAATGGGTGGATTTCCGTGACATCCAGGCCAGATTCGCCTCGCTCCGGCGGCAGCTCGCCGCGGAATGGCTCACCACCCAAGGGGGCCTATCACAAGGCGGGGCCATAGGAAAACCACCGTTGTTCCATGGGGAAAACCACGATTTTTCGATGGAACATATGGGAAAAGGGATGGAAAATGCATGGAAAATGGAAGATTTCATGGGAAATTCCCTATGTTTGATTGGGAAAGAAATATGGAAAAATGGATGCAAAGTCAAGTGTAGATGGAAAATGCAAGGGATTTGATTTACAGACAGTGGAAACTTCACCAAGCATTTTTTGTTCCCACATATAACATTCTTGTAAATGGGGAATTTGAACGGATTTTGCCAACGAAACCTGGGAGTTAACTGGTAAAATGGCTTTTTGGAATCTAAGTGTTGTTGGGGCACTAGATTATGATATAACCATGGCCAGTTCGCCAATTTTGATGTTAAAAACACATCCTTTTACTTTGTCTTAGGGTGCTTTTATCACCTTCGGAAAAACATGGAGAGTTGTAACTGCGTCACTCGATTTTGGTGTTTGATGGTTATTTTTTTCGATCCCTCAGGATCCCCCAACGGGCAGCAAGTCATTCGAGATGATGGGCTTTGCAACATGCTGGTGGGTGTATTCAACTCACATGAAATATGGGGTTTCCATAAATGGGGAATCCCCAATAGCTGGATGGTTTATACTGGAACATCCTATTAAAATGGATGATTAATAGGGGTACCCCTAGTTTAGGAAACCCCCATATGGTGATATGAAACCAAAACAGGATGTCCACCCGCAAATCCGGGGATATGTTGAGAACAAACTTGGCATCCCGTCCACGAACCAGTGTAGATTCTGGGATGACCGCTCTGCAGATTTTGGAAGAAGTAGCAATGGCTGGAAGTGAAAATCAAGGTAAAGTACAGTTCAAATTCTAGTTCTTTTTGTGTAGGGGATTTGTTTTTCATTGGTGGTTTTTTTTCTGGCACTGTCGGGTGGCAAAGTTCGATGTCAGCGGCATTCCATGTCCAGTTTGTTGGAGTTTGATGGATTTGGTATGGGTGAGTGGATGCTATGTGTGAGCATATTCAATTATATAATTGTTGAAGAGCCAGAAATTGCAAATGGATAGAACTTGATACAACTATTCCCAGATTAGCTCACCATGGTGCTGGTATATAAAAACCTACAAAACTGGGTCATAACAATGGGGTAAATGTTGGGATTCATATTCCAGCACCATGGGTTGCATATGGGATTTGGAACAGCGATAGCACCGCCTGGAGGTGAAACTGGAGATCGAGGCAAGGCTGCGTTTCCACGCGATTGGTGGGGATCAGTTGCTGCCCTGCCCAGTGGTGGAAACATTGGCGAAACGGCGAAACAACTGGTGGGTTTCATGTAGGATTTCCGTAGCATACTGATGCGATGGAGAATCATCCTGGAGTGTCATCAAACGGTTTGATCAAAACACTCCAGAATGAGATGATCCGGAAAGATTCTAGGATGACCAGTCCATCCTAGGATGACGTTGTCTGAATGTCCACAACCTCCGTTGGTTTTTAATTACGCAGCTTGCTATAAATTCACCCGGAATCCACGTCAACCCGGTTTTTGCCGTTTCGGATGCCACGGGACGCAGGTGGTGAAAGCGAGCGACATCCCGGACGCTGCCATCCTGGCCACGTGAGGGCACCCGTTTGACCATAGATGTTCATGTAGAAATCCAATTTGTGATCATACCCATAAGATCCATGTATGGTATATATGCTAACATGTGGGGTATACGGATGGGATCCATGTTAGCATATATACCATACATGGATCCTATGGGATAGATTAGATGTCCCAAACTCCCATTGGTTGGTTGATTAATAGAGAGGTTTGAAGGAATCCCTTTAACAAAAGGTAAATGATGATAGATGATAGAAGGACATGATTGTTTGGGACCAGCAACAACTATTCGAAGATTATTCTTAAAACATATTCAACATGAAAGTCTGATAAAGTCTGACAAACAACATACTATGACAATCCATGACCCAGCCCTATTCAACCTATTCATCTGGTTAGCCCCAGCTGTGATAAGTCTCCTGTGGTTTGGTGTATGAAGCAGGTGCGACCCCTACGTGATCGTCAGTATCGTGGATGGCAACCCCTTGCAGGATTCCAAAGCACTGAAAGGCCCAGGGGAACTAGGTAAAGATTGATTTGGTAAGGTTTCAAGGACTGGTTTTGTCCCATTTTGAAGAAATAAATCATGGTGCCACCAAAGATTAACTTTCTGTGGGGTATCTAAAGGTAAGTAAGCTTGACAATATAAGCCCATTGCATTTCTCATCGCTACCGTAGACTGGAGGCAAACCATTCACGCTGTGGCCAATGTATGGCAAACAGAAAATATCATCAACATTCGCAACTTCCAGCGGCTAAACATGGTTTTAAAAAAGCCATGAAAGTTGTGTTTGTTGGACATCTCTTAGTCGGGTCTATGCCTTTGGACCCTGCAGATTTCGAAGAGTGGCGCGCACTTCATGAACAGTGGAGTGGGCAAACGCGTGTCATCGAGGCAACTTCCGGCAAAAATGTTGGTCACAAAGGCCCTTGGGATCGAATAGTCCCCAATTGCCATCCAGTTTGTTGGCGATTGTAATGACTTCTTGTTGGATGTTTGAGGATGGCCCAGATGGTGGGAAAACATCTCCCCAGCCTTCTCAGAATGATTTAAACAGGCAGAATTAGCTGATCACAATGCCAGCAACTTTGCAAAGCGGAGTCATTCATCCAAACTTGGCAGTGCAAAAACAACAATACTACAATGTGAGGTTATAAGTTGGTTTATAAACCCCAGTAACTATAGTTTGCGATCGAACTCCACCATGATTTCCTACCACTTGCAATATGTTCTGGTATAAGGATTTTCTTTGTTGTTTCTTTCATTTTCATTTCGTCAGAATTTCGTCAGACTTTTCGTCGGGTCGTTTTGCCACAAGATTTTTCCACAAATTCTTTCGTCTGAATTTCGTTAGGATTTCGTCAGAACTTGAATTGCAGCAACGAAATCTTTGACGAAATTTTGACGAATTGTTTTTGTGGCAAAACGTTTTGCCACAAGGAAAAATTCGTCAAAATGGGTTTTGACGAAATTTTCCTTGTGGCAAAACGTTTTGCCACAACATTTTGCCACAAAAAAAAATCGTCAAAATTTCGTCAACCAATTCGTTCAAATTTCGTCAAACTTGAGTTGAAGTAACGAAATCTTTGACGAAATTTCAACGAAATTCTCACGATCATTTTTTGTGGCAAAAGGGGTGGCAAAATGGATTGCCACAAGGATTGCCACGAAATCTTCAACGAAAGCTTTAACGAACTCTCAACGACCGACTGACGTTATACCATTCCTATTGCACATCATGAGCAGCACCAACACAAACTATAGTTATAACTACCATAAACCAAATAGTTATTGGAGTTATAAACCAAGTTAGCTATCTTGGGGGCCTCACATTGTATGTTTGTGGGTATGGAAGATCTCTGAAATGAATAATCCCTTCCACATAAGATTGAAGGCCCCAAAAAGAAACCCTGAGTTCCTATTGGATCTAGTTCATTTCGGGGGTCCAGTCATGGGGTATTTACTATAATTTATAATTCATATTAATTCATATTACTTATACATACAGTATAATTATATATATATTATGTATATAAAGCCAGTTTCAGGATGGTTTAACCGTCTTAATCCTCAATGTGTTAGTGACATCTCCATTAAAGCCATGTTTTTTGATGGTTGATCGCTGGTGCCCCAAAAACATCGCAGGGCACGCGCGATCCGGACTTCCGCGCGCGCTTTAGGGCTGAGGTGCGGAACCGCGACGCTGGGCCAACACTGATGCATTGACGATCCGAACTGACCATCTTTATGGCGAAAAATGATAGATGCCAAAAAACAAGTGAGGAAAATCATGACAGACTTGGGGTGCCCAATTCTTTTCTACCAACGATGTTGATACTACTGGTGGTTTAGTAGTGTTCTCATGTTCCATGTTCAAGCCCATGTGGGGATGATGATCCTCATTTGCGGAAACGACGAACCAGATTGGATTAAGATAAATACAGCAAAGATAGGTTACCATGTAGGATTGTGTTGTTGCCTGAATTCCTTTATTACGCCATTGCTGTTTTTGCCATATATATATATATATTTGATATATCATATATATATATTATACATATATATATATGTATATTATATATATCATATTAAATATATAGTTGAAAATCAACTGTTGGAAGAAGTCTAGTTGTGCATTTATGAACAAATACATACAATTTGACATGTGAATACTTGGTGCTGAGACTGGTGTCATTCTATGTTACTCGTACTAGCGTAATGCAGAGGTTGGTTATGCTTCTTGACAATATGAATTTATGCGTATGTCTATGTATGGCTATTAGGAAGCACTGCTTTTTCAACGGTTGGTCCAAGTTGGGGTAGGATCAGTAACCCCTGGCCCCTGGCCCACGGTTGAAAAACACCGAGGAAACAACACACATCCATTTCAGGTTGCTGGATCAGGACGGATGAAAACGCTGATCCTTGGGATGGTCAATTCGCATCGGATGAGTGGGTCAACAATTTGAGGTAACTCGAGTTAATTCTTATTCAAATGGTGACAAGTTGGTGATAAGAATTTGGATTCACTTTTTGTTGGCACCAAATCACCTCAGAATCAATTCAAATGCGGACATGGAATTGGCGGAGCATTGAGTCCTGGTGTGAGGACAACATCTCTCATGCAGACCGCAACATCGGACAGGCTCAAGTGAAACCCACCAAACTGATGGTGATGCCATGGAGATAGGCTGTAAGTGAAGAATGGTGAACCATGGTGAACAATGGCGAAGATCTTGTATCCAATTTGTTGATTTTGGGGCTGGTTCTTCAGTTCGGCAGAATCCAAAGCATACACCATGTGGGAAGCCCCGGTTGCAGGCGGTGTTGCCCTTGCAAGACCTTTTCGATGACTCCTGGGCAGCCGTGCGAGCCATTGCTCTGAGGCTGTTCAGAGTTCAGATTAAGGTGAAATCAAGGATCGCAGGAATGACATGCTTATTCCTTATATATGCCAGTTATCCCATCTAAACACACACAACACACAGCCAAAGGAATGAAGCCCTTTCTGGTGTCGTCCTGTTCAATTTCCAGGCCCATGGACCGCAAAGATGCACACGCCTGGGCAGCCATCTCCAAGACACGACTGCACGCGCCTGGGATCCGGCCTTTTCCACAGTTGGGATCATCTGGGCCCTCTATGCTGGTGGTTTGGAACGTGTTTTATGACTTTCCATAATACCCATATGCAACCCATGGTGCTGGAATATGAATCCCAACATTTACCCCATTTTTATGACCCAGTTTTGTAGGTAAATATACCAGCACCATGCTTCGCATATGGGATACATATGGAATTTCATCTTCCCAACTGACTTTCACTCCATCATTTTTCAGAGGGGTAGGCTCAACCACCAACCAGATGATTATTAACCATTAATGTTAACAGTATATTCCCAACCAATGGTAGGTGGCTCAACCACCAACCAGTTGATTTCCATGTTCCATGGATTTCCATGGCATCGTCCCCAGGTGGCCGTCACCTGGGAAGGCATCCTGGGGAAGGTGAAGAGTGAGGAACGGCTACGCGCCTTGGATGCGGCGGATCCCGAGATCCCGATTGGATCCCCCTGAAAATGTGATCCAAAGCTCCAGAAATATCCAGAAATGCTGGATGTCACAACAGAAAGCGAAGCCAATAGCAAGATAGCAGAAGTAGATAGAAGTAGTAAGTTGAGGAAGTAACTAAGTAATCCCATGGTTTTATTCTGCGCAATGTTGTGATGCGGGTGTAGATAGTGGCATTGCTGTGCGACACCTTAGTTGTCTTTGTTCTATTTCTTTTGCGGCAAAATGGTTTCTCTCACTAAGAGGCCTGAGATGATAAGAGTAGAAATTGTGGGGAAAACGCATCATGGAAGATCGTGGAATTCAGAAAAGATGGTTTTTGTTGGAAAATTCACGAGAGATAGATCCCATGACGGATCCATGGTGCGCTTGTATATATGCTAACATGACTGGGGTATATTGATGGGATCCATGTTAGCATATATATATATATACCAGCACCATGGATCCTATGGGGATGGTACCAATACCTGAAATTCCCCGACTAAGGAGCTGCTGCACACTGGAAAGCGGGTGCCACACATGCCAAGAGGGCCCAGCGCAAAGCGAACGAAGAGGGCACCGGCGAAGGTGGCACGTCGCCAAGATGTGTTTCAGTAGATAATGTCAAAGAGATGTGTTTGATTGTGTTTGTTGGATTCCAACCTATGACACACATGTATTACACATGTTGCTTTCACATGTTGCTTTCACATGTTGCTTTCACATGTTGAGAGGTTTCTGACATCTATGGAGTTTCCACGTGACAGCGCCAGGACTGCTGGACTTCTTCACATAGCCAGGTGTAGGCGGCCAGGACAAAGGACGAGATTCTGGGTGCTGATTTTCGTGCTTTGCCAATGCTGATTTTGGAATGTAGCCCGGAAAAATAATAAAAACCGAAACCATGAACATCATGAACATCCATGAACTCTAGTTCTTTGAAGTTTACAAATCTGCAAATGACATCCGGTGGGGTGTTACATTGCGTTACCACAAAGAAGTTCTGTCACCCAGTCTAGGACACATCGCACACCAAGATCACGGAGAAAAGCCCGGGACCATTAGGATCCATGAAGTACCTAGGGTGTTCCTTCAAAATTGGAACTTGGCACAGGGTGTGGGATCGATTCTATTGCACTTAGATTCCATCCCACTTTTGTGTGTATATATATAATTATATATATATACACTGTATATATACACTGTATCATGTTGGTTTTTCACCCCATCAGAGAAGATCCCAATAGCAACATCCTGGTATGACGCAGGACGAAGAAGGCAGCTACCAGCTGCATCAGGATCTCGCTGGAATGTGCCTCCGGGTGGCTGAGATGTTTCTTGGTGAAACCCAGGGGATGCATGGAGCGTTTCCCAATGGAAGGGACTCCATGGCAGCCAAACCCACTGCAGCAGCCAGGAGAAAATTCAGCCGAAAATCACAGACCTGAAATGAAGATCACAACTTGGGTTTAAGAGATACACCGGTGAAATCACTTCGAAAGCTACAGGTTTTATACCTCAACATACCTCAACTCTTGTGCGCTTCCCAGGTTGAGGATTTCAGGTCACCATCAGTTCCAGCGATCATTTCACCAGTTGGTTGGTGCTGGATGCTGTGGTTCTCATCGCAGGTGTGGCCCGGCAAAGGCCCGCTGATGTGGTGATTGATTGGTGATTGGTGATTCTGTGGTGACGATAAAAAGTGCTAAAATTGTCATATGCCTCATATGCTCCTGATATGACAGGCATTCCTGTTGGATAATCTAATATCATCAATGTAAACTCCTTCAACCATGAGCCACTCAAGTAAGATATTACTTCCGGAATGCCCCAGCTTGATCACCAAAGAATTCAAAACAAGTGCTCTTCGTCAACGGTACCTGATGGAGGGGTCAACTCCTGGCTACTTGAACCCTGATGTATCCTGATGTCATCTCCAAGATATTTTGTCAAAGAGGCCCCCAATTCACTTTGCAAAAAAGTGAATATCTCCATCCCTTAAAAAAAATGCAATCTTTCGCTAAATCAGCTATTGAATGAAGAACATTTAGCAGTGCAGTCTATTTCAATAAGCTGAGTTTTAGTGACGCTCGGGTTCACAGACCTCGGTCCCCTCGCCATTGTTGAGCGGTCACGGCCTTCAGGAGAGCCATCCCGTTGAAGAAAGCCATGGTTCAACTGGCCGATCCAAAGTGAAAAACTGGCTGAGCTCCGCTGAGGGGTTTCACCTTCGCTGGAGTGTGATCCAGGACACGAGCGAGTGGAGAAACACCAGAGTTGTACCGGCGGCATCCGGCTGCACGGGGTCCATTGGAGGGGGTGAAACAGTCAAAGATCATCACTTTCTCCAAGCGAGTTCGGTGGCCTTATCAACACTTGCTCCCAAACAGCCAAACAGTTGTAGTCAAAGTTCTTCTAATACAAATTCTCCCATTATATATATTTATGTATATATGGGTGGCAAACATAAGCTATACCATGTCACTATGTCCTCGCAGGTGGTGAAGGAAACGATCCTCACGGAGAGTTTTGCCCTGGACGGGCAGAGCGCCAAGGTGACCGACAGATGGTCTGTTTGAATGGAGGTGGGTAAAACAATACTGATTCGTTGAAGCAAAGATGCTGATGAACATGGCGGAAAGCCGACTTTCCCTGGGATGAGCATGGGGAAAAGCCGAGATTTTGTCATGATTTTCTGGTTGGTGGTTTGGAATATGTTCCTCCATAGATTGGGAAGAATCATCCCAACTGACGAACTCATATATTTCAGAGGGGGTAAGTATACCACCAACCAGAATAATAAACCACCCATATTGGAATAGTTTATACCACCTATAAAAATGGTGATTTTTGGGGCTTGTTTATGATTGGTTTACCCACATCAAAAAGCCATTAAAATGACCAGTTCATGGCCATGATAGTTTTTTCGAATGGATTTAGTCTGGTAGGCTGTTGTCGTTAACAAACATTTAGTGGTTGAGGATTCATGAGGGTTTCGAAAGTGTGAATCACCAGCCATTACCCTCTGGTTATGACTAACAGTTTGCTATTGAAAATGGCCATAGAAATAGTGGATTTACCCATTTGGATAGCATGGTGATTTTCCAGTTCGCTATGTAACAGTTTACCAGAGGGTAATCACCATTCATTCTTGGAGGGTTGGCGAAAGTGTTGAGCCATAGCCATAGCCGCAGCCAGGAAGCCACCCGACGCCTGCGCGACGAGCCACGGAAGCTGAAGACCAACGAGCTGGTGCAGGTGGCTCAACCATGGAGGATTTGACCGACCAATACGGATTGGAGAAGATTGGATCAGATTCTGGTTGGTGGTTTGGAACATTTGGATTATTTTTCCATATATTGGGAATAATGATCCCAACTGACGAACTCATATTTTTCAGAGGGGTAGGTATACCACCAACCAGGATTGGTTTGGACAGTTGTTTGAAAATGAGAAAACAATATGGAAAACCCGAAAATCATGCCAGAAAAAAACGGGATAACAATCGACATGGCAGTTGGGAAAAGTCCATCAAGTTGTCATACTTTGTCCGTACAGATCATGCCCGCTACCCTCTTGCAATAACAACTGAGGTGTTATGAAAATGACCCGTGGCAAACCAGATCCAGTTCAATCTATCTTCAATTGAACAACCGCCGGAAAGAGTGGGAAGTCAAGTGATGTCAAGTGAATATGTTTATTTATATAATGTTATGAGATGATAATATGATATATATAATATTATATATTATATTTATATATTATAAAAACTACCGAGCCGTAAGTCAAGTGGTTGGACCGTTTCTTGCACGGCCACTCCTTTTCCGAAAAGGTCCGTTCCTGGATGAAGAAGGAGGAGAAGTCTGGCCTCATGAGGTGGAGCGCCGGTTCCTGGTCCACCAAAACTAATCCCCCCAAAAAAGGGGTACAGTTATGGCCATTTATCAGTTATAAGTACTTATAACTTATAACCCCATATTATAGAATGTATAATCCCATAGAAATCACCAGTTATACTTGGTAAATGGCCATATAACTGTAGCAAACCAGGTCGAACACCCGGTTTTTGCATTTCTGCTGATGGTTTTAGAAATCGACCAAACGGGGCGACTGTTTGATCCCATTTTAGCCAACTATGAACCATCGTGGGATGGTAGGATCTTGGTCAATCTTAGATGGATACAAACTAATCCTAACTAACTAATCCTAACTAGTCTTTTGGTATTTTCATGGGAATATCTACGTTCACCAGCAAAGAATTGGTCATTTTTTGCAGGGATTACCTGGCTGATTGGCAACGGGATTGCCTCACCGGGTTGCCCCATGTTGCCCCAACTTCCGCGCAGAATGAAATGCCGAGCGATCAGCGATGGTGCTATAGGCACGTCTCAAGACAGGAATTGACGTGCTGGATGCGGGTAATTCGCGACGTTGATGAATTGATGATTTTGTTAGCCTAGATATGGATAGATGATATAACTGAGGCCAATTTGCCATCCATTCAAAATCAACTCTTTTTTACAGAATATCTAAGGGTACCCATGATTGGTGGAAAAGGCAAACTGCTAAGCTGCTATCCGCGATGAAGCGAGGATGGGTGGTGTACCACAATGGCCCATTGCCTACCAGAGACCTTGAGGTTACAAGTCATAGCTACCCTCTGGTAAACTGTTACATAGCTATGGAAAATCACCAGTTTCAATGGGTAAATCCACTATAAATGGTCATTTTCAATAGCTATGTTAAATTACCAGAGGGTAACCTAAACCACTGGGAGGTATCTGTTGACCCCAGAGCTATGTTCACAGATGTCACTGCTGTGCCCTGCTACTTTGGCTCCAGGTCCCACAGGGGCCGTATGGCCGTTTGCCACGGGCAGCATGGGTATGCCAATTCCACTGCCAATTCTTCACAAGTCAGTCTCCAAAATTGCATCAGTTTTCATCATCCAACGGGCCATTGATTTTGGGCATTTTAGCTGCCTCGTTTTTGTTGGGGCTTCGTGACGACATTCTGCGCCACAGAGCCCCCGGCATGCTGAAGCTGTTCTTCTTGGCAACGGCTGCTGCCCGATGGCCCAGTGCGAATTGCCCCAATCTGCTATTTACACTTATTTATCTTATTTCATCCCGTGGCTGATAGATAACCCAACAGATCAACAGATTGGGGGAACTTGCAGTCCCGTTCAGAACCGGTATACGGGCCCGTTGCTCATCTGCAGAAAACTAATTTGGGTTCCGGTAGATTGCCCCTTTCGTGCTGCCCAAGTGTGGCCCAGGGACCTGTGGCACGGGGGCTGATGAATGATGGCACCTGACTATGATACCTGAGGCTGGCCACAAGCTGGCACTCCTTCCGGCAAATGAAGTCTCCCGGCCCGGGGGCCAAGCAGAGCTTGACGCACATCAGTTGTGTGGAAAATATACAGCATGGAAAATAATTACAGCACACGATTCCGGTTCTTTCCCAATGAGTCTTGCCGTTTTGCTTCTAAATTTAGTTTCGTCCAGCTGGCCAAACTGGGTTGGAAACAACTTGAAACCTATTGAAACCTATTTAGAAACTAATTGATTGAAACCTATTGAACCGCTGGTGCCACTGTTAGCTGCCCTGGTTCTCACGCAAAATCGCTCGAGGACCGCGCTCTTGCAGGTGCCATGGGCATCATGGGGTGGATGAGATCTGCCGATCAGGTCCCATTGGAAAAATGCGCTGACTTTCCCATGGAGGATTAGCCTCTGGTTATTTGTTACATAACTATGGAAAATGGCGCACTTATAGATTGTTTACCTATTAAAAATGGTGATTTGTTACATAACTATGGAAAATCACGATGCTATGAATGGGTAAATCCACGAACTGTCTATGGTCATTTTCAATAGCAAACTGTTTGTTTAGCAGATGATTAGCGATAGATTTTGGACAAGGTAGGCCTGTGACTCGTTTTTCCTTGGTTGTCGAGGTGAACGGACATCAAGGGTGACATGAGAAACGACTTGATTGTTTTAGAAGGCCATGTTATACACATAAACATTTGAAGAATTCAAGAGCACCCGTCCTTCTGACATTATTGGTTAAAATGTTTGGTATCTTCATTTTCAGTATTCATTATAGATGTAGTATGATGTTTTTTTTCAGTATTCATCATAGATGTAGTTTCCGCTAGAAAGATGCTATACCATGCTTTACCGAATAGCAACGCAACCAGTGGTTTTCGTCATCTTCCTCCCTCAGGATGCATCCATAGAACCCTCCGCAGGCCGGACGATGTTTTTGGGTGGGATGTTAGAAGTTAAAATAGCGTCCTACCTATGGATAGTTTCGGATTAACCACCATTGATACACCTTTTTGAGGCCTTAATCTAGCTTGCATCTTCACATTACCCAATGAGCAGCCGATTTGAGAGGCTGTGCAACACTCCTAGGAGATTCTATCCACTTCTGCCCAAGTCTTGAAAGCTGTCAGACAAAATCCCGTCTGCAGCCGGTTGCACTTCGAAGTTTCTTTCCTGTGTTGAGGTGTTTTTTCAATTTTGTTTGGTTTGACTGCCCACTGGAGTTTCTTTATCGCAGCAGCTGAGCCATGCCAGATCCAGATGATGGCCAGATAACGAACTTCCAGAGCATCTTGAGTCCCTTGGCTTCACATCCTCCTCACACTTTTTGGGTAATCTGCTTGGATCTTGGACCAATTTCGATAGCCAACATGCTTTGGGTGCTCCATTTTGGCGAATACCCACCACATCCCACCACCAAATTCCACCGTTGCAGCGCCACATTCCTGCACAAGTGACATTCATATACATTTATCATTTTGACTCTTGAGTCTCCTTCATGGCCACACCAGAAAAAATCGGGACAAAATGGGACAAACCATCCAGTTTTAACACCGGGAAGATGTTTGACCTCCAAGGGCAATTGACCAATGCTGTGGCATCTATCAATTCGCCATCGGTCACGCCCATTTCGTCGTCGACATCCGCGATGGAGTCCGAAAAATCCACACATGAACCAGAGGCAGGGTAGGTCATTTTTTTTCGGTCAATGATGCTTTGGATGCCAAATGGGCTTGAGATTTTTGTGTCAGATTGAAACTTAAGTTGTGGCAAGAAGGGGCCATTCATCGTCAGGGATTTCCCGAATTTTCAGCTAATTAGGGGGGTACTCCTCCAATAGTCATAATCTGAAGTTAAATGGTACCCTCCCAATTAAACACCGTAAACGGGGTTTATTAATCCAGGGTTGGTATCTAAATGGGTGGATCTCAACCATCTTTGTCATTGCGGAGTCGACATCCGATTTCAGTGAGATGGCACAGGTCTTCTCCTTGAAGGGTCCCAGTTCAGCGACCGAAGCCCCCCATCCGTTGAAGCCTGGCACTGCGATCAGGACATCTTGATCGATGCATTTCCCTGATTTTCCCACTGCACGGGTTGAAAGTGGCTACAGTATTAGCTGCAAATATTTTAGAAGTACAAAGTCTGCTTGTTCTGGGTCAGCTGAATTTGGCAGAGTGGGGTTGAGAAGATGTTCATTACATTCCATTCCATGACATTCCATTCCATTAACATTCCATTACATTACATTACTTTCCATTACATTCCATTCCATTAGATTCCATGACATTCCATTACATTCCATTCCATTACATTCCATTACATTACATTACTTTCCATTAGATTCCATGACATTCCATGACATTCCATTACATTCCATTACATTACATTACTTTCCTTTAGATTCCATGACATTCCATGACATTCCATTACATTCCATGACATTCCATTACATTCCATTACATTACATTACTTTTAGATTCCATGACATTCCATGACATTCCATTACATTCCATTGAATTACTTTCCATTACATTCCATTCCATTAGATTCCATGACATTCCATTACATTCCATTGAATTACTTTCCATTACATTCCATTCCATTAGATTCCATGACATTCCATTACATTCCATTGAATTACTTTCCATTACGTTCCATTCCATTAGATTCCATGACATTCCATGACATTACATTCCATTACATTACATGACTTTCCATTAGATTCCATGACATTCCATGACATTCCATTACATTCCATTCCGTTAGATTCCATGACATTCCATTACATTCCATTGAATTACTTTCCATTACATTCCATTCCATTAGATTCCATGACATTCCATTACATTCCATTGAATTACTTTCCATTACATTCCATTCCATTAGATTCCATGACATTCCATGACATTCCATTACATTCCATTACATTCCATTCCATTAGATTCCATGACATTCCATTACATTCCATTGAATTACTTTCCATGACATTCCATTACATTCCATTGAATTACTTTCCATTACGTTCCATTCCATTAGATTCCATGACATTCCATGACATTCCATTACATTCCATTCCATTAGATTCCATGACATTCCATTACATTCCATTGGATTACTTTCCATTACATTACATTACATTACTTTCCATTAGATTCCATGACATTCCATGACATTCCATTACATTCCATTCCATTAGATTCCATGACATTCCATTACATTCCATTGAATTACTTTCCATTACATTCCATTCCATTAGATTCCATGACATTCCATGACATTCCATGACATTCCATTACATTCCATTCCATTAGATTCCATGACATTCCATTACATTCCATTGAATTACTTTCCATTACATTCCATTCCATTAGATTCCATGACATTCCATGACATTCCATTACATTCCATTCCATTAGATTCCATGACATTCCATTACATTCCATTGAATTACTTTCCATTACATTCCATTACATTCCATTACCTTACAGTACTTTCCATTAGTTCATGAAAAAAAAACATCCTGACATTAATTTCCATTCCTTCCCATTAGATTCATGACAGTCCGACATTCCGTTGAATTCTTTCCATTACTTCCATTCCATTAGATTGCCATACATTTCCATGACATTCCTGACCACCCATTACAACAATTCCGTTCATTAGATCCATGACATTCCATTACATTCCATTCCGTTAGATTCCATGACATTCCATTACATTCCATTGAATTACTTTCCATTACATTCCATTCCATTAGATTCCATGACATTCCATTACATTCCATTGAATTACTTTCCATTACATTCCATTCCATTAGATTCCATGACATTCCATGACATTCCATTACATTCCATTAGATTCCATGACATTCCATTAGATTCCATGACATTCCATGACATTCCATGACATTCCATTACATTCCATTCCATTAGATTCCATGACATTCCATTACATTCCATTGAATTACTTTCCATTACATTCCATTCCATTAGATTCCATGACATTCCATTACATTCCATTGAATTACTTTCCATTACATTCCATTCCATTCCATTACATTCCATAATATATGTATATCCATTGATGCCTCCAGAGATCCCAATGGCCGGATCGATGCTAAGGATGGGTTCCTTGCAACCGTCGCCTATTCCCAGGAGGCGTGGATGGTGATTTTCAGGGGGCACCATTGGAATTTGGAACAAACTTCAAGTCACAGGTTCAAAGAAATTTATGATGTTTATGGATGTTGATGGATGTTTATGGATGTTTATTTGGTTGGTGGTTTGGAACATGTTTTATTTTCCATTTCATATATGGGATAATCCTTCCCATTGACGAACTCCATCATTTTTCAGAGGGGTATAGGTCAACCACCAACCAGGAGAGTTTCGACCTTACGATTTTCATAACTTGAGAGGTTCAACTTTGTGAAAATCTCAGATTCAAAAGGAGCAGCCACAGGTGGAAATTTGATCTTGAAATGTCACTCGAAAGCATCCAAAACTGGGGAGATAATCATTTTCACGGGTCTGTTTTGTCGAGCACGGGCGCCTGAATAGGTGACCGAAAACTAAACGGGAAGCGTTTGGAAGCCACCTAGCAGCGCAATGCTGGCAGGTTGCTATTCAACCACAAGTTCAATCTGTTGAAAGCATCAGATGCGAGCTTGGACTCATGGCAGCACAGAAAACGCACCATTTTTTGGAGAGATCTGGGGGGGACTAAAAGCGAAAGCTGAAGAAGTTTTTCTTCAATGTGAGCCCCCCCAGTGATGTTTGTTGGTTTTTAAGCCCTAGTAACTATAGTTATAACTACCATAAACCATAGTTCTTGGAGTTATAAACCAACTTAGCTATCTTGGGGGCCTCACATTGTTGAACTGATTGGATTTCACTCACATTGTTGAACTGATTGGATTTCACCGTCTCTGAGGATAAGCAGAGTAAACTGCTGCGTGACAACGTGCGACATATCGTGCCAATCTCAGCGCGGCAGAAGTTGTTGGCCCGAAATTGGCAGCAGTACTTTGGGGTTTGAATCCCCAATCTTTTCCCATCCTACTGGTCACTCTCCACCTGCTTTCACAATCTCCCAAGTTTGTTTCCTGGATCCGCGGAATGTATTTGAGTGTCACCCTTGCGGTTCAATTGTAATTTCCCTTCTTCTACACGACATGTCTGGGCAGATCACTCTTTGATTCTTAATATGTGTCTTCTTCATCAGAGAGATAGGTTTTGACAGATCAAAAAAAAGCCTTCTGTGATCAGAGACTGCCAGTGATCGCTGCTCATCGCGATGGTACCGCGCTGCAGGTGAAGTTGTTTCCAGATCTCGGACCATCGGACGTGCACTTCTGGGACGACGGAGATTGCCAGGCCGGAATCGAACAGTTGCAGCTCGAGGACCGAGGTCAGTTCAGTGATGCTTCGACACTTTGCATTTTTCCACACTTTGGGAGAGAATGTAACCAATTGAATCTACTTGAATTCCCATTTGGTTGATTTTTCTTGGGGAAAGAGGTGCTGAATGACTCACCAAGCAGCTTTTTCCAGGAGTCTGAGGCGTTGGGCCTGGATTTTGCTCGAGAGAAGGCCAGATCGTGTTCACGGGTCAAGCCAGATCTTGGGGACCTGCGCGATTTTGTGGTTTGATTGGAGCATGGTGTTCACATGTGTTCAAACATTTGCAAACAACATAGTCTGCTGTTTATATCTGTTTATCATGTCAATGTCAACTTTGTTAAAGATAAGTATGTGGGCAACTTCTGAGTTGGTCCCGGTATGTCCCCATCCCAGCTTTGTTCCGGACTCGCGGACTCGTACTTGGGCCAGGTGGGCATGGTGAAGTCAGACCTTTGCCGTTTGGTGATGATGTACAGCCTTGGTGGTTTCTACTTCGACACAGTCCCATGGCGAGATGTTCGCCTGGAAGGAAATGTAGCGGGTGACTACCAGATTTGAAGGCCACCAGCAGGGGACCATTGTGAGATGAGAACTGAACAGGAATTTGGAGAAAGATACACGAAAAAAAACACCGTGGAGTTTGAGGTCACGCGTTGCTGGACCATTTTTCAAGCAATATATGGCAAAGCCCTTGTTTTGGGGGATGCCTTGACAGGCTAAGTTGGCCACAGTTTTGAAACTAGACGACGGATGGCCCGAGAGCGTAGAGGAGCAGAGTCTTCTGTTGTTAGTATGGAGACACTATATTAAAGATGTATTATAGGCAGACGAGAAGAGTAGTATCAAGACAATATATGACTAGTACAAGACAATAGTTTGCATCGTATTTTTGTAAAGTTTTTCATACACAAAACTTTTTACAGACAGACGCTTTTGCACACAGAGACTTTTACACACAGAGACTTTTACACACAGAGACTTTTACACACAGACGCTTTTACACAGACGATTTTGCACACAAACACTTTTACACACAAACACTTTTACACAGAGACTTTTACACACACAGACGCTTTTACACACAGAAGCTTTTACACACAGAAGCTTTTACACACAGACGCTTTTACACACAGACGCTTTTACACACAGACGCTTGTTACACATAGGCTCTTTTACACACAGACACTTTTACACACAGACGCTTTTACACACAGAGCCTTTTACACACAGACGCTTTTACACACAGACGCTTTTACACACAGACGCTTTTACACACAGACGCTTTTACACACAGACGCTTTTGCACACAGAGACTTTTACACACAGACGCTTTTGCACACAGACGCTTTTACACACAGACGCTTTTACACACAGACGCTTTTACACACAGACGCTTTTACACGCAGAAGCTTTTACACACAAACACTTTTACACACAGACGCTTTACACACAGACGCTTTTACACACAGACGCTTTTACATTCAGACGCTTTTACACACAGACGCTTTTACACACAGAGGCTTTTACACACAAACACTTTTACACACAAACACTTTTACACACAGACGCTTTTACACACAGACGCTTTTACACACAGACGCTTTGACACACAAACACTTTTACACACAGAGGCTTTTACACACAGACGCTTTTACACACAGACGCTTTTACACACAGACGCTTTTACACACAAGACAAGTTTTTCCTCAGTTTTTGGACCGATCGACCTCAATTTTCGGGCGAAAGGTTGATCGGGGCAAGTCAAATCGCAATTTTTCCTCAGTTTTGACGATCGACCCTCATTTCGTGCGAAAGGGTTGCTCCGGCACAAGTAAAATCGCAATTTTTCCTCAGTTTTTGACGATCGACCCTCATTTCGTGCGAAAGGGTTGCTCCAGGGCAAGTCAAATCGCAATTTTTCCTCAGTTTTTGACGATCGACCCTCATTTCGTGCGAAAGGGTTGACGTTTCGTGACTCACCGCCGGTACCACCCTCGGCCTAAAGAGAGAAAGATAAAGAAGGCGAGAGAGAGAAAAAGGAGAGAGAAAGGAGAGAGAGTGAGAGAGAGAGAAGATGTGAAGATGAGAAGGTGTGAGAGAAGGTGTGAAGATGAGAAGGTGTGAGAGAAGATGTGAAGATGAGAAGGTGTGAGAGAAGATGTGAAGATGAGAAGGTGTGAGAGAAGGGTGTGAAGATGAGAAGGTGTGAGAGAAGATGAGAAGGTGTGAGAGAAGATGTGAAGATGAGAAGGTGTGAGAGAAGATGTGAAGATGAGAAGGTGTGAGAGAAGATGTGAAGATGAGAAGGTGTGAGAGAAGATGTGAAGATGAGAAGGTGGGAGAGAAGATGTGAAGATGAGAAGGTGGGAGAGAAGATGTGAAGATGAGAAGGTGTGAGAGAAGATGTGAAGATGAGAAGGTGGGAGAGAAGATGTGAAGATGAGGTGTGAGAGAAGATGTGAAGATGAGAAGGTGTGAGAGAAGATGTGAAGATGAGAAGGTGTGAGAGAAGATGTGAAGATGAGAAGGTGTGAAGATGAGAAGATGAGATACAGACCCCCACTATTGGAAGAACCCTGCGCTCAGACGCTCTCGGGAAAAAGTTGAACGGACGTCAACAATGTGAATCAGCCATTGCAAGTGCACACTTTGAAAACGTTGATGTTCTAGAAACTTTGATATTATCCCGCTGTGTGGTGACGGCTGGTGCCGTTGTGAGTTTCAGATTGCCAGAAAAGCTAAGGACATCCTTCCTTTGCCCAACTTGGAGCAGCACTTGGAGCCCAAAGCCACCTTCGCAACTGTTCCTGGGCCGATTTTTCGGGTCCATTGGAAGTCCGACGACTTTTGGTGCTTTGTCTATGTACTACAGATACATACAGATAGAGAGTTAGTTGTAACTAGTTGTACCTATTTCTGGGGCCTTCCAGGGTTAGGGGGTTGGTTGTAACTAGTTGTAACTATATCTGGGGACTCCTAGGGGCTTAGTTGTAACTAGTTGTAACGATTTCTGGGGCCTTCCAGGGTTAGGGAGATAGTTGTAACTACTACAATCATCTACAATTCTTGTGTTGGAAAAAAACAAGTTTTGGATCCACATGAATCCGAAGTTGGGGTGGGTGTTAGGCCGGAGTCAGCGACGCATGGTCTGTACCTGACTCAGGTGATCGCTGATGACGGGAAGAATTACTTCCAAGCGTCTCTGGGCGTGTTGGAATGAGGATCCGTAACACATGGGGCGATAGATTGGTGGTTGTCGTTTCAGCAAATACCCCGATGTAGGCATATAGATCATTTGGTTCACATGTTGATCCACACGTTTCGAATGCCTTTTCGAATCAGAATGGGACCTGAAGGATGTGACGTATGACGGGCAGCTCCTGACTTTGAATCGTTACACGCAGCAAAGGTTCCTGGCGGCTACGCCGAAGCACCCGGCGATCCTGGAGTCTCTGAAGGAGTTCAAGAAATGGCGCCTTGCCGATGGGAAACAGGTTGCGGTGTGTCCATTAGACAAGGCAGTTGGTTCCGAAAGGGGAATGACCTGATTCAAAAACCTTGCCAATCTGCCCAGGTATGACCAGCTCAACCGGCCTGGCCAAAACAAGGAGGGCTTCAGCCAGGGATACTGTACATGTTCAGGCAAGTTTAAATATGTAGGACCCTCCACAAGTCCATGATGTACTCTGATGCATGCATCTTTTCATAAGAGAAGCCACAAGGACTTAATCCCAACCTACTGTATTGATTAAAATGGATCAACCACGCTGCCAAACCCGGGATTGTTGACGCTGCTGTACTGGGTCAGGGTGGTAACTTGTGCCGCGGTTGTCTTCTTGTGCCGCAAACGGTGTGCCGTTGGGAAGTCCATGATATACATGTCATTCCTACTGGATGAATCAATTCCCCACCTGCCAGGTGAGGGTTGTTAGATTTTATGTCAGTTGCCTCCTCCTCCTGCCGCCTCCTGCCTCCTGCCTCCTCCTCGTCCTCCTTGTCGTCCTTGTCGTCCTCGTCGTCCTCGTCGTCCTCGTCCAACTGCGACCCGCGATCCACAGTGTTCTCTGTCGGACCTCAACCACGACCATCCACGCCCAGTGTGCCCTGCCGGACCTCAACCACGACCATCCACGCTCAGTGTTCCCTGCCGGACCTCAACCACGACCATCCCCGCCCAGTGTTCCCTGCCGGGCCTCAACCACGACCATCCACGCCCAGTGTTCCCTGCCGGACCTCAACCACGACCATCCACGCCCAGTGTTCCCTGCCGGACCTCACCCACGACCATCCGCGCCCAGTGTTCCCTGCCGGACCTATGTGGAAGATATGGGACAAAGAATGTGCAGAAGAAAGTTAGAAAGAATGTCAGAAAGATGCCAGAAGATATGCCAGAAGATATGCCAATAGAATGCCAATAGATTGCAATAGAATGCCAGATAGAATGCCAGAAGATATGTCAGATAATGCCAGAAGATATGCCAGATAGAATGCCAGTAATATGCCAGAAGATCCAGATTGCCAGAAAGAGATAGAATGCCAGAAAATAGCCAGAAGATATGCCCAGAAGATATGCCAGAAGATGCCAGAAGATATGCCAGATTGCCAGCCCTAGAATGCCAGAAAATATGCCAGAAATATGCCAGAAGATATGCCGATAGAATGCCGATTGAATCCAGAAGATAGAGCATGCCAGAAGATATGCCAGATAGAATGCCAGAAGATTTGCCAAATAGAATGCCAGAAGATATGCCAGAAGATATGCCAGATAGAATGCCAGAAGATATGCCAGATAGAATGCCAAATAGAATGTCAGAAGATATGTCAGATAGAATGCCAGAAGATTTGCCAGTAAGAAAATGTATAAATGTCATGGTGGGGATCACACGAAGTAAAGTAACTGATTGTGGCATTGATTTTTCTAACACTTTGCAGGGGCACGCATGTTTTTGAATGTGTTTGAGACATATTCTTTTTGAGATAGAAACTCATGGGATGGCTTCTCGATAGCTTGACTCACACAGAGGAGAGCAGTAGAAGAGTAGAGTCGAGAAGAGAATCGAATTGAAGATATTGAAGAGTAGAGGTGATTAGAGAGGCGTAGAGCAGAGAAGGGAAGAGTAGAAAAGATCCCTGCTGCTTTGCCTTGCAAAATCCGGATCTCGTACAGATCTCGTAAAGACCTTGTGCGGATCTCGTAAAAATCACGCTGTCAAGCGGTACCTTGAATATCTCAGTGCCATTGTGCTGTGTTGTTCAGTGCTGGAATGTTCCTGGTGTGCCACTGGGAAGAGCGTTTTGTGAGTATATGGTTCCCAGGGTAGGAATGAGAGTCCGCATGACATGTAGAACTCCTGGTCTTCTAGAGGTCAAGTTGATGGTGTGCCATGCGGTTTACAACGCTTTGTGTCAGGTTTAAGACAGATAACAAACAGCACAAAGCGTTGCAGTGTGCATAGGAATTTCATGAAAACAATGTGCACATATATGGATAGGTGTTGGTGTGCCGTGGTGATTTGGCTATGGCACAAGTTCTTTAGGTTGTGGGGTAAGCTGTGTGCCATGCGGTGGGGTAAGATTATAGGTTGTGGCGTAAGTTACCACCCGTACTCCTAGCTCTTTGTTTCACTTACACAACAATTGCCAAGAAACTTTGATTTGTATATATATATATAGCTATATATAATTGTATATAGTTATCAAAGGACGTTTAGTAGTCTGAACTCCGTTGTACGGAAAATACTGGATAGGGGAAATTAGAGATGGAGGGAGTAGTGATGTGTAGCTAGCTAGCTAGCTAACTAGTTAGTTAGTCCGTTAGTTAGTTAGTTAGTTCGTTCGTTAGTTAGTTAGTTAGTTGGTTGGTTGGTTAGTTAGTTACTATGTTAGTTAGTTAGTTAGTTAGTTAGTTAGTTAGTATTTTAGTATGTTAGTATGTTAGTTTAGTTAGTTTAGTTAGTTAGTTAGTTAGTTAGTTAGTTTGTTAGTATGTTAGTATGTTAGTATGTTAGTATGTTAGTTTAGTTAGTTTAGTTAGTTTAGTTAGTTTAGTTAGTTTAGTTAGTTTAGTTAGTTTAGTTAGTTTAGTTAGTTTAGTTAGTTTAGTTAGTTTAGTTAGTTTAGGTTTAGTTAGTTTAGGTTTAGTTAGTTTAGGTTTAGTTAGTTTAGGTTTAGTTAGTTTAGTTAGTTTAGTTAGTTTAGTTAGTTTAGTTAGTTTAGTTAGTTTAGTTAGTTTAGTTAGTTTAGTTAGTTTAGTTAGTTTAGTTAGTTTAGTTAGTTTAGTTAGTTTAGTTAGTTTAGTTAGTTAGTTAGTTAGTTAGTTAGTTAGTTAGTTAGTTAGTTTAGTTAGTTTAGTTAGTTAGTTAGTTAGTTAGTTACTTAGTTAGTTAGTTAGTTACTTAGTTAGTTAGTTAGTTAGTCAGTCAGTTAGTTAGTTTAGTTAGTTAGTTGGTTAGTTAGTTAGTTAGTTAGCTAGTTAGCTAGCTAGTCAGTTAGTTAGTTAACATGTTAGTTAGTTAGTTAGGTAGTTAGCTAGTTAGCTAGTTAATATGTTAGTTAGTTAGTTAGCTAGTTAGTTAGTGAGTGAGTGAGTTAGTTAGTTAGTATGTTAGTTAGTATGTTAGTTAGTATGTTAGTTAGTATGTTAGTTAGTTAGTTAGTTAGTATGTTAGTTAGTTAGTTAGTCAGTCAGTTAGTTCGTCAGTTAGTTAGTTAGTTAGTATGTTAGTTAGTTAGTTAGTCAGTCAGTTAGTTAGTCAGTTAGTTAGTTAGTTAGTATGTTAGTATGTTAGTATGTTAGTTTAGTTAGTTTAGTTAGTTTAGTTAGTTAGTTAGTTAGTTAGTTAGTTAGTTAGTTAGTATGTTAGTATGTTAGTTTAGTTAGTTTAGTTAGTTTAGTTAGTTTAGTTAGTTAGTTTGTTTGTTAGTTTGTTAGTTAGTTAGTTAGTATGTATGTTAGTTAGTCAGTCAGTTAGTTAGTTAGTTCGTTCGTTAGTTAGTTAGTTAGTATGTTAGTTAGTTAGTTGGTTAGTTAGTTAGTTAGTTAGTCAGTCAGTTTGTTAGTTAGTTTGTATGTATGTATGTATGTAAGTTAGTTAGTTAGTTAGTATGTATGTATGTTAGTTAGTTAGTTAGTTTGCTAGTTAGTATGTTAGTTAGTTAGTTAGTTAGTTTGTTTGTTTGTTTGTTTGTTTGTTAGTTATTAAGTTAGTTAGTTTGCTAGTTAGTATGTTAGTTAGTTAGTTAGTTTGTTTGTTTGTTAGTTATTAAGTTAGTTTGTTTGTTTGTTAGTTAGTAAGTTAGTTAGTTAGTTGGTTAGTTAGTTAGTTAGTTAGTTAGTATGTTAGTATGTTAGTTTAGTTAGTTTAGTTAGTTTAGTTAGTTAGTTAGTTAGTTAGTTAGTTAGTTTAGTTAGTTAGTTAGTTAGTTAGTTAGTTAAGTAGGTTGTTAGTTAGGTAGGTAGTTAGTTTGCTAAGAAGTAAATAGTAAGTAGTAAGTAGCAAGTAGCAAGTAGAGAAGTAGTAGTAAGTAGTAAGTAGTAGGTTGTAGCAGGCAGTAGCAGGTAGTAGCAGGTAGTAGCAGGTAGTAGCAGGTAGTAGTAGGTAGTAGTGGGTAGTAATAAATAGTAGTAAGTACTAGTGAGTAAATGATGTTTGGGCGTTAGGAATCGCACGAAACCCTGTGTTTTCTCGCACAAAGTGGCTCCCGGCGTCGATGTTGGGAACCTTGTCTGTGCGACGGGTCCGGCGCGCGCTCGGACGCATCCTCCATTGTAAAGTACAATTCAGGCCTGCAGATCGTATTGTAATGGCTGCATCCATGTTGTGGATTGCCGCCTTGGTCGACGCAGTAGTAGTGTGATTTGCAAGGCAGTGATTGCAGATGGCAGTGGAACTGCTGTGTCAAGGTGATGTTTGGGCTTTAGGAATCGCACAAAATTCTTTGTTTTCACATAAGTGGCTCCCGGCGTCGATCGAGGGAACCTCGTCTGTGCGACGGGTGCGGCTCATTGCTCGGTTTCGCTCGGGCGCGTCCTCGTTGTGGAGATCGCAGAGGAATGGCTGCAATTTCTAACGCTTTTGCGCGTAGTAGTTGTGTTGTGTTTTGCAAATCACTCAATCTCTGCAGATCGCCATGTAATGGCTGCGTCAAAGTTGCTTGGTGCTGCGGCTGCGTGCGTAATACTATTGTCTTTTGCAGCTGGACATCGTAAATCGTATTAGAGTGGCTGCATCAAGTTTGCGATAGTGGTTTGTCAGCAGAGTTTCGTAAATTTTGGTGCTGGTGATTTCCCTTTTATAAAATTCCTTTAAAATTCCTTGCTTCAATTTGTTTTTGCTTTGGCGACTCGTACTACAAAGCTTGCACAAAAGACTTCCCGGTACTACTTCGTACATGCCAGTATGCCAGTACTACTTCCTAGCAACAGCTTGCACAAGGTACTTCCCAGTACTATTCTGTACTACAAAGCTTTCACAAAGTACTTCCCAGTACTACTTCGTACTACAAAGCTTGCACAAAGTACTTCCCAGTACTACTTCGTACAACAAAGCTTGCACAAAGTATTTCCCATTACTACTTCGTACTACAAAGGTTGCACAAAGTGCTTCCCAGTACTACTTCGTACTACAAAGCTTGCACAAAAGACTTCCCGGTACTACTTAGTACATGCCAGTATGCCAGTACTACTTCCTAGCAACAGCTTGCACAAAGTACTTCCCAGTACTATTCTGTACTACAAAGCTTGCACAAAGTACTTCCCAGTACTACTTCGTACAACAAAGCTTGCACAAAAGACTTCCCAGTACTACCTTCGTACATGCCAGTATGCCAGTACTACATAGTACTACTTCGTACTGCAAAGCTTTTGCGCAAAGTACTTCCCAGTACTACTTCTTTCGACAAAACTTGCACAAAAGACTTCCCAGTATTACTTCGTACTACAAAGCTTGCACAAAATACTTCCCAGTAGCACTTCGTACTACAAAGCTTGCACAAAGTACTTCCCAGTACTACTTCGTACTACAAAGCTGCGCAAAAGACCTCCCAGTATTACTTCGTACTACAAAGCTTGCACAAAGTACTTCCCAGTACTTCTTCATACTACAAAGCTTGCACTACGTATTTCCCAGTACTACTTCGTACTACAAAGCTTGCACAAAAGACTTCCCAGTACTACTTCGTACTACAAAGCTTGCACAAAGTACTTCCCAGTACTACTTCGTACTACAAAGCTTGCACAAAGTACTTCCCAATACTACTTCGTACTACAAAGCTTGCACAAAGTATTTCCCAGTACTACTTCGTACTACAAAGTTTTGACACAGCCAAGCTTATACACGCAGAACTTTTTGCCGCGGAAGCTTTTACACACAGAAAAGCTTTTACACACAGAAGCTTTGACACACAGAAGCTTTTGCACACAGAAGCTTTACACACAAAAAAGCTTTTAGACACAAAAGGTTTTACACTCAGAAGCTTTCGCACAAAATTTAGAGCTTTAGACACAAAAGCTTTTACACACAGAAGCTTTTACACACAGAAGGTTCACGCACAGAAGCTTGTGCACACAGAAGCCTTAACACAGAAAAGCTTTTAGACACCAAAGCTTTTACACACAGAAGCTTTTACACAGAAGCTTTACGCACAGAAGCTTTGCACATGGAAGCTTTACACACAGAAAAGCTTTTACACAGCAAAGCTTTTGCACACGGAGGCTTTACACACACACAAAAGCTTTTACACAGCAAAGCTTTTGCACACGGAAGCTTTACACACACAAGAGCTTTTACACACAGAAGCTTTTACACAGCAAAGCTTTTACACAGAAAAGTTTTTTGGCACAACAGTTTTTGCACACAGAAGCTTTTGACACAGAAAAGTGCATACACACAGAAGCTTTTATTCATGGAAGTTTTTTGCACACAGAAGCTCTTACACAGAGAAAGTTTTTACACACACAAGCTTGTAGACACGAAAGCATTCGCATTGTCCGAGAAACTTTTACACGGAACTTGCAGCTCCAAAACCTGGGAAGAACATTGTGCAAGCTTTGTAGTACCAAATAGTACTGGGAAGTACTTTGTGCAAGCTTTGTAGTACGAAGTAGTACTGGGAAGTACTTTGTGCAAGCTTTGTAGTACGAAGTAGTACTGGGAAGTCTTTTGTGCAAGCTTTGTAGTACCAAATAGTACTGGGAAGTACTTTGTGCAAGCTTTGTAGTACGAAGTAGTACTGGGAAGTACTGTGTGCAAGCTTTGTTGTACGAAGTAGTACTGGGAAGTACTTTGTGCAAGCGCTGTAGTACCAAGTAGTACTGGGAAGCACTTTGTGCAAGCGCTGTAGCACGAAGTAGTGCTCGGAAGTCTTTTGTGCAAGCTTTGTAGTACGAAGTAGTACTGGGAAGTATTTTGTGCAAGCTTTGTAGTACGAAGTAGTACTGGGAAGTACTTTGTGCAAGCTTTGAAGTACGAAGTAGTACTGGACGAAGTAGTACTGGGAAGTCTTTTGTGCAAGCTTTGTAGTACGAAGTAGTACTGGGAAATACGTAGTGCAAGCTTTGTAGTACGAAGTAGTGTAGTACTGGGAAGTACTTTGTGCAAGCTTTGTAGTATGAAGTAGTACTGGGAAGTACTTTGTGCAAGCCTTGTAGTACGAAGTAGTACTGGGAAATACTTTTGGAAGGTATTTTGTGGTACAGGAAGGGCTTTGTGCTACACAATGCTACACAGGATAATTTTGTTCGCAAGGTACGAAGATATCCAAAGAAAGAGATGTGAGAATAAACAATGGCCTCAACACAAAGGAGATGTCAAGACAGAAGGCGTCAAAGGAAACCATTTTAACAGAAAGAGGTCTCAAAATAAAACTGCGAAACAATAGGAAACAAGAAAAATGGTGCCAAGCGAAAACCGCGTCAAGAGAATGAGATGTGGAGAGAAGAAAATGTCAAGAGAAGCAGGTGCCCAGAAAAAGAGACGCCCAAAGATAAGGATGCCAAGAGAAAGCGGAAAGCGGCTGAAACGACCTCGGTTTCAAGATACAGCGATGACATCATGTCGAGAGCAAGAAATGTCAAGGAGAAAGATTCCCAAGAGATCACGCAGTCAACGGCTGTGCCAGCCAGGGGGTCAGGCGCTGTTCCTATAAGCTCTCCCTTGTCTTTATTAGGTTCTTCCCTCTCTCGAAACTTCCGTCACCCGGCTTGCCCGGGCTCTACTTGTATATATTATATATATATATATTTGTATCACCAGGCGAAGATCAGAGATCATGGGTCTTCGTTCCAGGATCTGTTGCGAAGGAAGACGGCCAATGGAAACATCGGCACTGCTCTCCTTCGCAAGGTGCTAAGCAGAATTGTTAGGGATCCTTTTGTGGCAGTATGACATGTTCACAAGACCTGGTTTCAACTGCGTGTGGATTTAAAAATGTAACTTTCGTTTACCTTGAACGGCACCATCATCCAACAGACAGGGTCCTCAAAGCTGTTGCTGCTAAGCTTTTCTGAATTCAACTGGCTAAGCGTTTTTTGCATGGTGGCATTGAATTCTTGCTGGACTCTTGTAGTGGCGCAGGCGTTTCACACCTGGTCCAGGGGCACCAGAGAAGATTCAGTAGTGGTCCACACTGGAGGAGCGGCGGACAGAGGTCAAAAGTAATGTCAGTTTGTTGTTAGTGTGCCATAGCGACAACTGAAGATTACAACAGATGGCAACAGCAGACTGTGCTTTTTGACCTTCATGTTTTTTCTGGTTTTCCGGATGATTTCGTAACGTTTTGGAACGGCAGGACTTGCAGGACACGTCTCCCAATTCTTCGTGGAAAAAAACGACCAGCGCCTCAAGGGCTTCCAGGGCCTGCCGTCGCGCCTGTCGGGAAAACTCTGTACCTTGACACCAGCCAAGGATCAGCCAAGCAGCTACAGCTACTCACATTCTGAAGATTGAATTCGACCATGGAATCCCAAACAAATCGATTCAACTCCCGGGTGATCTGGGACGTGTTGGCTGTGTTCTGGGCGATATAAAGCATCATCCAAATATCTGCCTTCAATGCTTACTGGTAACACCTTCCAGATTCCCAAAGCATCACTGGGTCAGCCTCTGAGAGGCTTGGTTCAATTTGGATAGCGCTTGTGATTTTCTAGTCCACCTTCACCTTTTCGGACTGCTTATGGACTGAGGCAATTATGCTGTGGTAGACAGGAGCTCAAAGACAGTGGTGATGTTCTCTCGGATTTACGACAAAGTTCATCACCAGCTTTGCAGAGAGGAGGCCAGGAATGGTTCGTCCCCCGAATTCTTGAAGACAAATGAAGATGAGGAAAAATTGGAAAAACTCGCGCCGGATTCCGATTCCTTTGCGCCTCCTCCAGGTGCAGTTCATGCACAGCCTCATCCAACTCCATAGCCATAGCTGACTGCGGTGAGCAGCGAGAAAAGCAGCATGTAGTGGTGGTGGTTGGCGTGTGCCGTTTATTCCCTGTTGGGGCATGGATGGTGTGTGCAAAGTGTAGACGAATTCGGCCTTCGGCCAGGCTGGGCCACCGTGGTTGGAAATGCAGGCACCGTCTACTTGCAGGCAGATCAGGGGGGTTCATTAAGCCAACTTCTTGTCGTTATCCTTGTCATTCCTAGTTGAAGGCTGAAGGCCTTAATCACTTCGTCTCTGAAAAAGTCGTTGCTGTGTGGAAGAGGTTTGACACGACGGTCAGAAGCATCATTTGCGACATTTGTGGATTTGCAGGTGACCTGAGTAAGCCAAATGACGTCACAAAAATTTTATTTAAGAATGAGCTGTTTGATGTTGAATTTATTGCTGCCATTCTGACAGAACAGCAAGTAGTTGTTTTTAGGAGGAAATTGTTTTTTGCTTTATGTTCTGGATTTTATATGTAATTTGTGTGTTTTTCCCCACCTGCCAGGTGAGGGTTGTTAGATTTTATGTCAGTTGCCTGCTCCTCTCCTCCTCTCCTCTCCTCCTCCTCCTGCTCAACCGCGACCCTCGACGCACAGTGTTCTCTGTCGGACCTCAACCACGACCATCCACGCCCAGTGTTCCCTGCCGGACCTCAACCACGACCATCCCCGCCCAGTGTTCCCTGCCGGACCTCAACCACGACCATCCACGCCCAGTGTTCCCTGCCGGACCTCAACCGCGAGTATCCACGCCAAGTGTTCCCTGCCGGACCTCATGTAGGAAGAGATGGGACAAAGAATGTGCAGAAGAAAGTTAGAAAGAATGTCAGACAAGTATGTTATATATTACTTGCAAACTCGCGCGTGTGTGGTAGAGTGACCGGGGCAATGCCACTTCTTACTTTGCAGGTGGCAAAGTTTGAAGCAATCAGTTTGAACATATGCCAGAAATTGCCAGAAGATATGCCAGATAGAATGCCAGAAGATATGCCAGATAGAATGCCAGAAGATATGTCAGATAGAATGCCAGAAGATTTGCCAGTAACAAAATGTATAAATGTCATGGTGGGGATCACACGAAGTAGAGTAATTTTACTTCTAGGTTTGTGATATATAAAGCTTTGGACAGGCCGTGAGACTGATGGGTAAAGTAATTATTGGATTTTTGCCACTCTTACATATTACTTGCTGATAATTCCGAATTATTTTATTTATCAAAGGAAGTTTCATGGAGGAAACTCAGAGTTACGGATAATTTTATTCTCACTAGCCCAAAGATCAATGTGTCCAGTTGGCATGCGCCTTAAGAGATCATGAAGTCACATTCTTACTAGCCCAAAGATCATTGTGTCCAGTTGGCATGTGCCCTAAGAGATCATGAAGTCACATTCTTACTAGCCCAAAGATCATTGTGTCCAGTTGGCATGTGCCTTGAGAGAGTTGGCACGTGCCCTAAGACATCATGAAGTCACAGTCTCACTAGCCCAGAGATCATTGTGTAAGATCAGTGTGTCCAGTTGGCATGTTCCTTGAGAGAGTTGGCACGTCCCCTAAGAGATCATGAAGTCACAGTCTCACTAGCCAGAGATCATTGTGTCCAGTTGCCATGCGCCTTAAGAGATCATGAAATCATATTCTTGCTAGCCCAAAGATCGTTGTGTCCAGTTGGCATGTGCCTTAAGGGATGATGAAGTGACATTCTCACTAGCCCAAAGATCATTGTGTCCAGTTGGCACGTGCCCTAAGAGATCATAAAGTCACATTCTTACTAGCCCAGAGATCATTGTGTCCAGTTGCCATGCGCCTTAAGAGATCATGAAATCATATTTTTGCTAACCCAAAGATCATTGTGTCCAGTGGGCTTTTGCGTTTCATTCTCACTAGCCCAGAAACACTTGCGCTAAGAGATCACTAGAGGTGGAGGTAGAGTAGAGTAGAGTTAGAGCAGAGAGTATAGTAGAGAAAACTAGTAGAGAAGATTAGAGTATAGCAGAGTAATGTAGAGAAGAATACGGAAGAGTAGAGTCGAGCAGAGCAGAGGAGAGCACCTTAAATTCCCTAGAGAAGAGTAGAATAAAGAAGAAATATACTGACGGACTGAAAGTTAGAATGCGATTTTGGTGACATGTTAAAAATAAGATGAGCAATCTCGTGAGATTTTTGGGGGGTTCAGAGTTAGAATGCGTCCACCAACTGTTAAACTATGTCAAATTATGTTATCAAATCATGCATATGAGCATTGGTTATGACAAAACACACTTGAGAGTTAGAATGTGACATAAGCATGGTTGGCTTAACATGATCTTGATGTTGCATTAAAAAAAAGGCGCTTTTATGTCTTGGAGCCTTTAGTGAGGGATTTTGCATTCAAGCTATGGTTGCTGGTTGCTGCGGTTTCTGCTGTGTTCTAGCAGTATGTGGGTAACAGAGCAGGTGAACACCTTGTTTCTATAGACATGTTTGTGGCTAATGTGTTTGCGACATGTTTTCTTTTTTTTAGTTGTTTGCAAGGAGCATGAGAGAACACTTCTCACGCAAAGAACATGAATGGGAAATCAAAGGAACACGGGCAAAATCTCACAGAAGATGATTTAGAATGTAAGCACATGACATGCTAGAAGGGAAAGTGAAAGGAAGAAAGAAAGGACAAGGAAAGGAGGCGAAAGGAGATGTCAGGAACATGATGGGATTTGAAAAGAAAGCGAACAGAAAATGAAAGGAATCGAAACAAGAACCTTCTAGGTTTGAATGTTTGGTGACTAAACTAGGGTCATGTTCCTAAAACCGCCTTACAATGGAGATTGCCAATGGAAATGACAAAAGGCTGAGCAGAGTTCAAATGTGCCCAATACATCCAAATATTGAACTCGTGGCCGACACATGCAAATGTATGTGTGGGAGCCTTTAGTGAGGGGTTTGCAGGCTAACAGTGGCTGAAAGGAGGTAAAGGAGGTAAAGGAGGCAAAATGAAAGGAACATGCAAGAAAATAAAATGAATTGAAAGAAACATGAGCAGAATCAAAAGAACATTAATTACAGGAAATTGTACGAAACACACACACAGACAAACGGAAAGTGAAAGGAGCAATGACAGGAATGAAAGCAAAACGGGAGGGAAAAACAATGCAAGTAAAATGACAGCGAACAAAGAAACGTGAAAAGGACATGAAAGCCAGTTATTTGCATGGGAAATGGAACGACATGTTCAGAGTCGGAAGGTCTGATAACGTATGTGATAACCAATGTCACCAAAACCTTTTTGTCACTTTATCATGAAGATTGTCACTGGACATGAGAAAGGGGTGACCGGAGTTAGAATGTGGCCCATACATTCAAATATTGAACTCGTGGCCAAACCATACAAATTTATAGGAGCCTTTAGTGAGGGATTTTGCATTCAAGCTATGGTTGCTGGTTGCTGCGGTTTCTGCTGTGTTCTAGCAGTATGTGGGTAACAGAGCAGGTGAACACCTTGTTTCTATAGACATGTTTGTGGCTAATGTGTTTGCGACATGTTTTCTTTTTTTTAGTTGTTTGCAAGGAGCATGAGAGAACACTTCTCACGCAAAGAACATGAATGGGAAATCAAAGGAACACGGGCAAAATCTCACAGAAGATGATTTAAAATGTAAGCGCATGACACGCTAGAAGGGGAAGTGAAAGGAAAAAAGAAAGGACAAGGAAAGGAGACGAAAGGAGATGTCAGGAACATGATGGGACTTGAAAAGAAAGCGAACAGAAAATGAAAGGAATCGAAACAAGAACCTTCTAGGTTTGAATGTTTGGTGACTAAACTAGGGTCATGTTCCAAAAACCGCCTTACAATGGAGATTGCCAATGGAAATGACAAAAGGCTGAGCAGAGTTAGAATGTGCCCGATACATCCAAATATTGAACTCGTGGCCGACCCATGCAAATGTATGTGTGGGAGCCTTTAGTGAGGGGTTTGCAGGCTAACACTGGCTGAAAGGAGGTAAAGGAGGTAAAGGAGGGAACATGAAAGGAACATGCAAGAAAATGAAATGAATTGAAAGAAACATGAACAGAACCAAAAGAACATTAATTACAGGAAATTGTACGAAACACACACACAGACAAACGGAAAGTGAAAGGAGCAATGAAAGGAATGAAAGCAAAACGGAAGGGAAAAAACAATGCAAGGAAAATGACAGCGAACAAAAGAAACGTGAAAAGGACATGAAAGCCAGTTATTTGCATGGGAAATGGAACGACATGTTCAGAGTCGGAAGGTCTGATAACGTATGTGGTAACCAATGTCACCAAAACCTTTTTGTCACTTTATCATGAAGATTGTCACTGGAAATGAGAAAAGGGTGACCAGAGTTAGAATGTGGCCCATACATTCAAATATTGAACTCGTGGCCAAACCATACAAATTTATAGGAGCCTTTAGTGAGGGATTTTGCATTCAAGCTATGGTTGCTGGTTGCTGCGGTTTCTGCTGTGTTCTAGCAGTATGTGGTTAACAGAGCAGGTGAACACCTTGTTTCTATAGACATGTTTGTGGCTAATGTGTTTGCGACAGGTTTTCTTTTTTTAGTTGTTTGCAAGGAGCATGAGAGAACACTTCTCACGCAAAGAAAACGAATGGGAAATCAAAGGAACATGAGCAAAAACTCACAGAAGATGATTTAAAATGTAAGCGCATGACACGCTAGAAGGGAAAGTGAAAGGAAAAAAAAGGACAAAGAAAGGAGACGAAAGGAAATGTCAGGAACATGATGGGACTTGAAAAGAAAGCGAACAGAAAATGAAAGGAATCGAAACAAGAACCTTCTAGGTTTTAAACTAGGGTCATGTCCCTAAAACCGCCTTACAATGGAGATTGCCAATGGAAATGACAAAAGGCTGAGCAGAGTTAGAATGTGTCCAATGCATCCAAATATTGAACTCGTGGCCGAACCATGCAAATGTATATGTGTGGGAGCCTTTAGTGAGGGGTTTGCAGGCTAACACTGGCTGAAAGGAGGTAAAGGAGGTAAAGGAGGGAACATGAAAGGAACATGCAAGAAAATGAAATGAATTGAAAGAAACATGAGCAGAATCAAAAGAACTTTAATTACAGGAAATTGTACGAAACACACACACAGACAAACGGAAAGTGAAAGGAGCAATGAAA